TTCGAGCCCACCTGTGTCTCCGGAAATTGTTAAATGTAGCCTATGGCCAATGTTGACAAAACTAGTGGCAGATGAGACCTGGGAAGTGGTCGAACGGGAGGTTGTACGGACTGGTCCACCATAGAAGAGGAATATTGACCTCAGGGATGAATACACTGCAGACTGGATAGCCGGCATGTATAAGTTAGAGCTGTACGAGTAAATGTGGCAGGAACTTGAATACAATTATTGTTGCTTCATTTTTTGGCCTTCCGAAAGATAGGATTCATGCACAACTACCAGCGCCGGTAAGTTATCTAGAAGTCTCGGTGCTGGTCACATAGATAAACAAATACCGCGGCAAGTTGCAGCCTGCCGCCAACCCCAGTGAAGGCCACCAGCGAGGCAGGGGGCTAGGCCCACGCACAGAAGTTCTTGGAGGATGGGACGATAGCTGATGGATCGGGGCAGAGGAGAGTATTGTTGAAGAAAACACAGACACAGGGAAATGTCATGTATGGCGGCGAGAGAGAGATCCGGACTGAGAGAGAGAACGATTAATGGATATGACGAAGAAGAAGCCTCTGTGAAAGAAAATCCGTCTATCAAGAGTGGCGAGCGCTGGACACCTCCGGCCCGATAATAAAACGACACCTTATACAAGACTGGTCGATGGACGCAGTCCAGTCTCACAAACATCCCTCCTTGCTTTTTGCCACTACGATTTTCTATTTAAATCAGAGCTTGGACAGGAGTGAGCCCCATCTTGGAAAGTCACGGTCGGAAGACTACAGTTGAGGGACTCGATGGTCGGGTTCGGTTGGAAGTGGAAACTGTAATGGTGTATATCCATCTCTGCATCAACTGCCTCAGTAGCCCAACTCCTTCCAGCCATTGCTACTCTGTCATGTGCCCACGATTGATTAGGGAGACAAAAGGAGCAGGAGAATCATGGAATCAATCGATCATGAATCAACAGACCGAAGTACAACAGAGAATGTTGAGAAAGAATAACGCATACGTATACTCTTGACTTGGAACCAAGGGTCGGCCCTCGCCCCAAAAAAGGTCGTAAAGATAGAATGGGACACATTTCCTTATGGAAACATCGGGTTGCCATCGGTCACTCTGCTGGGACGCCCCCCCATCCTCACCGGACCACCCGTCATTCCCATTCGTGTCCGAAAGACTGCGTAAGGCCAAATCTTACCATTGACTGCCCGTGTGTGGCAATCCGTGCTGGCCGCTTTGAGACCAACAAGAGGCTGATGCATAACACTACCCCCACCATCATCCTTTGGCCCAGTCTATAATATGTTGTAGCTATCCATGCATGCATCAGAGGCACGGCTGCTGCCAACAGTTATGTAATCCTCACTCTGCCAATCACCGCCTTTCCCGATGACGCCATGTGTTGGTGGCCTGAGGCAACCCCAGAAAACCCGCCCATGATCGTGAAGATGATGGCGATGACAGTCTTTCCTTCGTCGCCATTATTATTGAGCGTTGTGTCGCAACGATGCGCTCGGTCGTCGCGCGCTCTGTGTCTGGTACCCTTCGAGCCTTATCATGCCTGCGAATCGCCGAGTCGCCGTCCGTTTTCCCCGGTGCGCCGACAGCATGGTCGGCAAGCACCATGAGACCTTTGCATACGGCGCCTCCGCGCATGTCCTCTGCAACGGCGGCAGAAGCTTCCAAAGACTCCTCCAATCCGGCACTGTCGTTTCCCTGTCTCGACGCGCAAGATGCTAAGTCGGCGCTTCTCTCGGCTCGATCGCTGCAATCCGGCCCGGAACCGTCCTATACCACCGGCCAGCACGAACAGTTCCGCTGCAAGGACCCGCTCCTCCTGGACTGGGGTGGCGTGCTGCCCGAATTCGAGATTGCATATGAAACATGGGGCCAGCTCAATGCCGACAAGAGCAATGCCATCCTCTTGCACACGGGCCTGTCGGCGTCGAGCCACGCACACAGCACGCAGTCAAATCCCAAGCCGGGGTGGTGGGAGAAGTTTATCGGCCCCGGACTCCCACTCGACACAGACAATTACTTTGTGATCTGCACCAACGTGCTGGGGGGATGCTACGGCAGCACGGGGCCGTCATCGGTGGATCCCTCCGATGGGAAACGGTACGCGACGCGGTTTCCTATCCTTACGCTGGATGATATGGTGCGGGCGCAGTTCCGGCTGCTAGATACGCTGGGCATCCACAGACTGGCGGCGAGCGTCGGGTCCAGTATGGGCGGCATGCAGAGTCTGGCTGCCGGCGTCCTGTTCCCAGAGCGAGTTGGCAAGATTGCCAGTATCAGTGGCTGCGCGCGCAGTCACCCGTATAGCATTGCCATGAGGCACACACAGCGACAGGTGCTGATGATGGACCCGAAGTGGGCGCGCGGCTTCTACTATGACTCGATCCCGCCACACTCGGGCATGAAGCTGGCGCGCGAGATCGCTACCGTCACCTACCGCAGTGGACCTGAGTGGGAGCAGCGATTTGGTCGGAGACGCGCAGACCCTAGCAAGCAGCCTGCGCTGTGTCCGGATTTCTTGATCGAGACGTATCTCGACCACGCGGGCGAGAAGTTCTGCTTGGAGTATGATCCCAATAGTCTCCTGTACGTCTCCAAGGCTATGGACCTGTTTGATCTAGGCCATATCCATCAGACCGAGACACAGCGCCGTCGTGCAGAGTCTGAGGCTCGCATAGAGCGCGGTGGTATCGCCCCCAGCGTCTCCGATCTTGCATGCAGCCTCACCCTGCCTGAGAAACCGTATGAAGAACAGCCCGAAGCCACGGCCTCCGTGCGACCGCTAGACCAGCCTGCCGCTGCATCCAAAGAACCCACAGGAGCTCCTCGCGATCTTGTCAAGGGCCTTACTCCCTTGAAAAACCATCCGGTACTCGTTATGGGTGTGGCCAGCGATATTCTCTTCCCAGCGTGGCAACAGCGCGAGATCGCCGATACCCTTCGCGCGGGTGGCAACAATCGTGTCGAACACATCGAGCTAGGCGAGGATATCTCGCTCTTTGGCCATGATACCTTCCTGCTGGATCTAAAGAATATCGGTGGTGCTCTAGGCCGGTTCCTGCGGTAGGACAGCTTGAGCCTCGGTTTATTGTTAATGTTGAGTTGGCTTGCCCGAGCGAGCGGACTGTATCTACCATAGTTAGTGCATTAGTAGGCGTTTCATGTGAAATATATCACTCCTCCTCTTCCTGGTCGCTTGTTTTGGTCGTAGAAGCCGTGTAGCCCGTTTCGCGATGGCATTAGGACCAGACCCCGCCACTGATAGATTCGATAATAATGTGGGCGGCTAGGTATATACAGATAGACGATGCCCAACTAGCCGCCTCCAACGACATCTACGAGGCTGACTAGGAGAGCTTGATGCACTGCAGTCATTCATCTCATCCATCTATCATACGGTCTCTTCTCGGGCCTTGAGGGGCTTGATGAATGTGAAGGAAGTAGACCAGAAGACTGAACGTAAAATGAGGACTGCCCGGACCGATGTAGGATGCCCGAGGTACCGCGTCTAGTTCTTGATTACGGGAGAACTCTTTCTAGGGAGATCCATAAGCAAAGGCGAGCACTCCAAGTTGCGCGTTTCTCCTCCCAGAGGTCGACGCCTCTCCAATACCAACCACCTGAGTGTAATTTGGAGCAGCCATAGCTGAAATGGCGCTGCGATGGATGGATTCGTGATTGATGCGTGACGGATGTTTAGCATCCCGCTTACTTTTCATAATACAAAGTGCAAAGGCAATGCCCTCAGAAGTTGCTCTCAAAAAGAATTCATGGGCTTCCAGACGTTCCCGGCCGTCGGATGCCTTCAGAATTGGCTTTAGCTGATCCGCAGACAAGGGAGACAGCTCATCACTGGGCCGAAGAAGAAGAAGAAGAAGAAGAAGAAGAAGAAGAAGAAGAAGAAGAAGAAGAAAAGAGAGAGAAGTCAAGCAAACACACAATTCGATTCACTATCCTTAGTCTGTCATGCCCTCGGATTGAAAACTACCGGTATGCCACTCGTCACGGGCCTGCTCGACATCGTTACCGATGCCCGGTATACGGATGGAGCATTCCATGGCCTCGGAGTGGGGGCGACTGTCGTCATTGGGCGGTTAGTTGGTCGAACAACACCCATGGTGGTCTCTTGGATCTCTGTTCACCCTCAATCACCCACCGCTAGGGGATCTTCTTCCACTTGTGACCGAGAGTCAAGGGATGCAGTCCCAGCATGGTGTCATGAGAAGCTCTGGAGTGCGTATGGATATCGTCATGGAGACACGACCATTATCCGAATGATCGTCGTCGACGCTGGAGATGTCAAGTTGTGGGTTATCCGGTACCTGAGGACTGTCTGTCACGTGATTTAAAAGCTGTTTGCATTGTTTGACCTATCTGGTGCTATCCCGGATCTTGTTGCTCTAGGTCAAGGTCATTATCTCAGGAGAAAATTCCGGGGAAAAACAGGTGCTTCCGTGAAAGATCAGGCAGTGTTTTTCCTGGTTGACTAGCGCAGAATCAGCTTGATGATCCGCGCAAATACGAGCAACTTGCTAAGCGCAACTGGCCTCGGAAACCCTCCGACCAAGTCGGATCCGATGTTCTTAACAGTATAATAATTATTATTAACCAGGAATAATAACTTAATTAGTTAGCTAACTAGCTAACTAGCTCGGCTAACCCGTAGCTAAGCAAAACTGACCTCGGAGACACTCCCTCCGCGCCCCGACCAAGTTCTTCATAATACAATTGAATGGGAAGAATAGCTCGGCTAATCTCTGGTTAGTCTCGCAACCCGCTCTCAGTAGTTCCCCGCATTATAGAATTCGTGGGGCGTCGGTTATTGGGCCAGGTCCCCCGAAGTTTTGAACCTGGCAATGATCGCCGGTTATTATGTCCCCGACGGAACCTGAGTCTCCGGTTGGTTATAAACCCATGTTCTCACACTCAGTTGGGTGAACTGTGCTGTCATTTCTTTCCCAACATCCACAGAGCTCAAAAGCGGCATAATAATGGCGCGATTTTGGGGCCTTCGAGGCTCTAAGCTGCACTTGGCCATCTGGGCTGAGGCTTGCTTTGGTGTAATGATCTTCGGTTACAATCAAGCGTCTGCGGGTGGTGTGCTCGCCGATGTTACCTTCAACAAGCAGTTCCCCCGAATGGATACCCTGACGACAACGGGCTCCTTGCAGTCATACAACGCCAAGATCCAGGGTAAGGTCTCTTTCATGCTCATTAAATACAAGCTAACCTTGGATAGGTACCGTCGTCGCCATGTATACGCTTTTTGGTGTGTTTGGAGCTCTAGGATGCATCTTTCTCGGTGATATTTTAGGCCGTCGGAAAACAATCTTCATTGCTAGTATTGTACAAGCCCTGGGAGCTATCTTGCAGTCGTCCTCTTTTGCTTTTGAGCAATTCATTGTTGGTCGAATTGTCTTAGGACTCGGCACGGGCGGACTAATTGCCACTATCTCTGTCTGGCAGGCTGAAGTCTCAAAAGCAGAGAATCGTGGTGAGCATGTGTCCGCCTTTGGGATCTTCTGTGGATCTGGTCTTGGACTGGCTCTGTGGGTTGCCTTTGGGATGAGCTATACACAGCCGAGCTCAGTCTCTTGGCGCTTTACCATGGTTTTCACCGTGTTTCTATCGATCTTAGTCTGCTCCGGTATATTCAATCTACCGGAGAGTCCTCGATGGTTGAGCAAAAAGGGGCATTGGGAAGAAGCGCGAGAAATTCTCGCGCTTCTACACGACGAGGACCCATACGGGGAAAGCGTGAAAAAAGAGATCGAAGACATTCAAATCTCTATTGAGCGCGCTAGCAAAGGCAGTACTGGCGCTATGTTCAAAATGGGGCCTCAGCGAACGTTCCATCGTGTGGTCATCGCTGCCGTTGCCCAAATGATGCTTCAAATGAGCGGCATTAATTCGATCACATACTACGCCCCTGCAATTTATGAGAACCAGTTACACTTTAGCGGGACAGTCTCTCGTATCCTAGCGGCTTCATCCCAGATTGCTCTAGTTATAGGAGCATTCTGCTGTGTCTATACGGTCGATAGATTTGGCCGACGCAGACTGATGCTATTTAGCGCAATTGGGATGAGTATTTGTTTTGCCTGCATTGCCGGCCTCACTTCGAATCCAGACAATAAACCCGCTCTCAAAGCAGCTGTTTTCGTCTCGTACCTTTACGTCGTTGTCTACGTCATGGGATTTCTTGGCATTCCATTCCTATACGCTAGTGAAATAGCACCTACTCACCTACGAGCTTCCGTGTGTGGGTTGTCTACTGCTGTCTCCTGGCTTTTCAACTTCCTCGTCGCCGAAGTGACTCCCACGGCCTTTACTAATATCGGCTGGAAATATTTCCTTGTCTATTTCGCTTTGAACGCCCTGTTTGTGCCGATCATCTATTTCTTCTTTCCCGAAACCTCGGGACGATCACTTGAAGAGATCGACCAAATTTTCGAATCTTCGACATCTATCTTCGATGCAGTTGCTGTGGCCAAGAAATTGCCCAAGCGTCATCTCGCCGAATATCTGCAAGAGGAAAAGGGGTCTGAGATTGTCATTCCTGAAGCCTCTCATATCGATGAGGTGGCGTAGCCGGTCTGAGTGGTGGAAGTTGGTTACGCCCTGGGATGAGGGGGTGATAGCTGTTCAGTAGAATTGTTTCCAAATAGTGTCACACTTTCTGATGGATATTTGGCCGAGCAATGTCTTATAATGAATTTGTAAATGTTCCTTTGTCTCCATTCTGGCTATGATGAAGGCGATATCGGATGGGTCCCCAGTTCCAAGATGAGGTGGGTATACTTGCAGGGAGAACGGCCATGGATGCGCCGAGGAACCTTGCGGGACAGTGGAAATTCTCAATTGAATCAACTCAACGCTTTTTGGATCATTTTGTTTCTCGAAGAGTTCAGGCTGATTCTCCGCCCATTTCCTACTTCGAAAATGGGGATCGAGCAAATTCCTCAAATGAACGCTATCGGATACCGTAACGCGTGTGTCACTCGGCGATAAGTGGAGCATGTATTGAATTAAGAATTCGAATACACCGAATGATCGCATGCTTCTTTCTGTGTAGTATTAAAGGCCTTGGTTGGGGTGGGACTGTCGCCACGAGTCTCTATGGCAGTTGCGCAGCTGGTAGTAAGAAATAACAAACTCGACCGTAATACGCTATAACGTTGCCTTTCGGGCTGCGTGCAGCTTCATAGGCCTCGAAAATCCGTTGCTCCTTCAATTCCAGTGCTTTTGGCACCCTTGGGGGCACGGTGCTAGGAGATCAAATTTTGCAATTGTGGACACCGCGGAAGGCGGCGAGGGGTCGACGGAGGGCATGGTTATAATTTCAAATTATCTGTAGCTGACAATATTGCCATTTATTTGTCAGAAATGCCAGAAATGCTATGATCTGACCACCACCGAAACTACGTCATTGTGAATCACCCTCTCCCAACCTTGAATGAGCATTTACTTCCATTGGTGGATACATTTCCCTGATATTTCATGAACGAGCATTTCCCCTATTTTTGTCCTCAAAAAGATATTAGCGAGGTGATTTTTTTGGCTGTCATAATGATGGAATTGCAACGTGATACTACCGCGCCCTTTTATACTTTTTGATCTTTCAACCTTCGCTTTTCAAACTCGAATCCAAATACACCATCTGGTCCATCGATTCATTTACTACAGCATATTTACCTTCTTCTCGTTAATTACGCGGAACGGTTTTTACCTATACAGGTAAATCATGGCCAACGCAGTGGTTCAACTTCGTTGCGGTGTGAAGGTTCGAGCGCCTCTTTCTTATTACGTGAAATTATATATTCACTATGCTCCAAACAGAACGACGTGTGGGGAAAGAAAGGCAAGCAGTCGGTTGTCGGCCAGCTCTGGTCCAAAACACCGGACAATGCGCAGATCGACGAGTCCAAGAACTATTCCGAGGTAATGATACTTCTGATGAAAGAATCCTACTCAAAGTGCTCACCGACTTCTTTAGATGTGGCTGGGCACGTATCCCTCTAACCCATCCTACCTTCTCTCCACCGGCGAGCAGCTGGGAGATTATCTTAAGAAGAATCCTCAGTTTGTGGGCAAGTCCGTCTTAGATAGATGGGGACCAGAGATCCCATTCCTGCCAAAGGTATGAACTTCTACATATCTTCTAAAGCAGCAACTGACCGAAAAGATCCTTTCCTTTTCAAAAGCATTACCCCTTCAGATCCATCCCGACCTCGGTCTAGCTGCAAAGCTGCACGAACAAGACCCGAAGAAGTTCGAAGACACTAACCATAAGCCGGAGATAGCGATCGCACTTTCCAAGTTTGAGCTGTTTGTTGGGTGGAAGCCACTCGTCGACATCCAGGCCCTTTTTAAGTTAAAGCCGCTGGAGAAATTCGTACCGACCCAAACTCACTTCAACGATGAGACATTGCGGCAGATATGCAAAGCTTTGCTGAATGCATCGCCGAAAGTCGTGGCCACCACCATCAAGGAGCTACAGGAGATCCCGGAGTCGCATTTCGGCGCATATCCCTATATCCCGGGACTGTTAGATCGGCTGAGCAAGCAGTACACGGAGTTCGACAACGGCAACCTAATCGCTGCGCTGTTGATGAACTATCTAACCTTGGGACCCGGGGACTCCGTATTTGTGCCCGCTGATAGCATCCATGCATATCTAGAAGGAGATATTGTCGAGTGCATGGCTCGCTCAGATAACGTCATCAACACGGGCTTCTGTCCACGTGCTGAGCGCGACAGCGTCGAGCTCTTCAGCCAGGCACTAACATTTCAGCCACACAATGCGCAGGATGCGCTGCTGCCACGTCGTAAGAGCGACAAGGGCATGAATGGTAAGACGGATGCTTATGCGCCCCCAATTAGCGAGTTTGCGGTGTTGTGCACCTGTCTGGGAGCCGGCGAGAAGGAAACCCACAAATCTATCCTTGGTCCTAGTCTGATGATCGTCACGAAAGGCTGCGGTTCTATGAATATTGCTGGTGGGAAGAAGATGGAGTTGAAGGAAGGTTGGGTTTTCTTTGTTGGCCAGGGTGTTGCGCTGGACTTTTGCACTGAGAAGGGTATGGCCGTGTACCGCGCATATGCGGAGTAGAATTTGTGCAATGTTGTGTTGGGTCCTAGAAGTGATACAATGTGCTAATGAAGAGAATTTTTCGATATTGAATCATTTAGATTGTTTCGTAGTTAACTATCTAGTGCGGGAAGTGTTGCACAGTAGCGCGTCAGGTCAGGACTGACAGACCGATGGCAGAACCAGGGGATTCTGGCCGGCACTGAGCCGAATGCTACGACCGAATAGAATAATGAAGCAATCTAACGTCTTATTATAATCGAATAACGAGTGTGTTGTATATGGTGAAATCTAGACTACAGAATTTCCGCCCTCCAACCATTGCGATGCCCTGTTTGCAAGGCCAAATCCTGTCACGTGGGCGCTGGGCGCCAGCCCGGCTGCACTAGTTATTGGCTCTTAACATTAATTATAATACGTAGTGCTTTGCAGTCTGCTTGGACCATTCAATCGATCATCTGAGCAATAGCGTCGTATGATTCGCTCATGTCTCGGCGCTTCTACCTTCAAGTACGCGCCGGGCGCTGCTGGTGTTGGTGGCGCCAAACAATTTGTACCAATGTGATTCAATGCATGAATCCGCCGTGAGCGCTAGTTCCGGCGGCTGGCTATTTTAGAAGTAGACTCAGGGTGATTTGAAAGGCCCAGTCTCGGCTGGCGATGGGCCATGGCCGCAAATGTGACTCCTTGTTGTTTCCACAGTCTATCTATAGGTTGAAAATGACACTATCTTTGTTTCTCGGAGCACGAGAAGCTCTCAAAATATCTCCCCCTGAAACAGGGACCGTGTGTCAGGACTTCAGCCAACTTGATTCAAGTGCTGATCGGTTTCATAAACTCTATATTACTATCATGTCGTCTTGTAGAACTGTGGAGTCGGGGCTTTACAATACTCAACCCCTCCAAGTCTGAGGCTCGCGGACACGACTTCCCTGTTTGTCTACACCTTCCAACATGATCGTTGCCTTTGTTTTTCGCCAAAGCGGTTAATAATATTCTTGGTCCCGAGTCTTCTTGAAAAGTAAGATGGGACCCAAATATTCTCGAAAGGGCTCATTAAGGATAACTCTAACTAGTGCCAAACGGGTTCCGGTACTTCTTCTCCCTCAAGGAGAGAGCAAAGCGAAAGCGCGATCAACAAGACGGACAATGTGCCTCTGTTCAAATCCCGCCAGCCTATAAATCAGACGAATACCGCGGACCCCAGACAGCAAATCCACGACCACTGTCCTCCTTCGCTCCCGACTTTAGTCGTCAGTCCCAGCACCATCCACGAGCATCGCATGAACAGCCACCGCCCTACCAGAGACAAAGGCTTCCAGTATATGACCCTTCGCGATACCGTCCTGTGGCTCCCACACACTTCAGTACGTTTTCCAATACGAGAGGACAGTCTTCCAGTCTGAGTGGTGTACACGTCCCAGACTCAAGATCGTCGATATACCGGCCGTCGCTGGATGGACGCCCGCACATTGTGTCGATGGGACCATTTGATTTAGCAGCGTCAGTCCCCAGACCGGAATCTTTTAATTCTTCTACTGCTGCTCAGTCGGCAGGAAAAGGATTTGCTAGGCAAGGCGAGGGTAGAGAAAGAGCAATTTCTGAGCCCATGTCCGTTGCTACTGCTCAGGGCACTAGGAAAGGGTCGAAGCCTGTTCTGTCACGGCTGATAACCAATCTCAGATGATCTACGGTATGGAAATTTCGCGACTATTATGAGAAGCGAGGCGTATAGGAGTTTTTCCTTTGCTTTTTCTTGGAAATTTGATCTTTTTTCAAGGGTATCGTCAATTCGGATATTCGCCCAGAATATAGTTAAAAGCACCCACCATCATGATTATCTCTGAAGCCATCTCCTTGGAGCAGATTTTAGAGCCCTTGATTGGGGGCCGTGCTCCGCCACACCCCTCCCCCCGGGCCCCCACCAAACAACCCCTCAGCCCCATGCCACGGGTGGCTGGCCGATCCCTGGATTGATGTAACTCTGCTATGTACGCTATGTTCTCTGCGCTCTCATTATTGGCTCTGTTCCTAGTTTCTAGGCACTTGACATACAACGAGCTCTCCCTACCCCGCCAAAGCTTGATCCAGCCGAAATGGAGAATGCTACAATGACGCCTCATTCCCTCGCTCATGCCGCTTGGACCTCGGACGTGGCCGCCAATTATCTCACAAATTATAAAGGGGTATAGGATCGCATGGGGATCCTTAACCACTGTCTTTTTCACAGAACAAAGGGAGTTGGAAATCAATAATCATGGTGGGTTTCGCAAAACTTCTGGCAGGTTCTTGGCTACTGCCGCTAGTGTACGGAGCGAGTTCAACGGTGCCTTATTCGTCGACGACCTCGATGCGCACCCAATTCACCCTTCCGGCATCTGCAGATGTCGGGGCGCAGTTGATCGCCAACATCGATGACCCCGAGGCAATTAACGCCCAGTCCGCTTGCCCTGGTTACAAGGCATCAAATGTGAGGCAATCTTCTCGCGGACTGACAGCCAAGCTGCTTCTGGCGGGCAACCCCTGCAACGCGTATGGGACTGATGTAGATTCCCTGGATTTGTCTGTGGAGTATTTGGCAACGGATCGACTCAATATCCAGATTCTCCCAACTCATATCGATTCCTCCAACGAATCATGGTACTTGCTGGGAGAAAATCTCGTTCCTCGACCCCAAGCGGATCAACAAAGATCGAGCAAGGACAGTGACATCGAATTCTCGTGGACAAATGATCCCACATTTAGTTTCACTGTGACCCGGAAGGCCACTGGCGATGTTCTCTTCGACACAAAGGGCTCCGTCCTGGTTTACGAAGATCAATTCATCGAATTCGTGACTTTCTTGCCCAAGGACTACAATTTGTACGGAATCGGAGAGCACATCCAGCAACTCCGACTCCTTGAAAATCTGACTCTAACCCTCTATGCTTCGGACATTGGGGACCCGATTGATGGGTAAGTCATGTGTTTGTCGCTTTGGCGCTTTTTTTTGGGGGGGGGGGGGGCGAGAAGCCTCTCTACAAACCTCTGCCGTTCTTGATGCTAATATGCATTTGGTTTCTAGAAACATCTACGGCTCTCATCCTTTCTATCTGGATACCCGATACTTTGAGGTTGACGACCACGGTTCTCATAGGTTGGTCGCAAGCGACCAGGCTGATCAGTCCAAGAATTATGTCTCCTACTCCCACGGGGTCTTCATGAGAAACGCTCACGGCCAGGAGGTGCTCACGCATCCTCAGAATCTCACGTGGCGTACGTTGGGTGGTAGCATTGACCTGACTTTCTATTCAGGACCGAGCCAGGTCGATGTCACTAAGAACTATCTGACCAGCACTATTGGTTTGCCTGCGATGCAGCAGTATTTCGCATTTGGCTACCACCAATGTCGTTGGGGGTACCAAAACTGGTCTGTCGTCGAAAATGTTGTGGACAACTTTGAAAAGGCCGGAATTCCATTGGAAAACATATGGTGCGTTGACTTTGCTATCTTGCAGCTAACGGGGGAAAACGGCTGATAATGCCGTGACAGGAATGATATTGATTACATGAAGACTTACCGTGATTTCGATAATGATCCCATTCGATTTTCTTATGAAAAAGGCGAGAAGTTCTTGGAGAAGCTGCACCAAAGCGGCCGCCATTATATTCCCATCGTGGATTCGGCTCTCTATATCCCGAACCCGAACAATGCCTCCGATGCGTGAGTCGTTTGTTCTTAAAGCCAAAATTGCTCGTTGACTTTTATCTAGATATGACACCTACACTCGGGGCGCAAAATACGATGTCTTTTTGAAGAACCCGGATGGCAGCCTCTACATCGGCGCTGTCTGGCCTGGCTACACCGTTTTCACTGACTGGCACCACCCCAAGGCCGGTGATTTTTGGACGAATGAGATCGTGACTTGGCACCAGAAGCTGCCGTTTGACGGGATCTGGATTGATATGAGCGAGGTGTCCTCGTTCTGCGTTGGTAGCTGCGGGAGTGGCAACCTGTCACTGAATCCCATTGATTCCCTGGGCCCCGGATCCAGTCCCCCGAGCGTCACCTCCTACCTGCGCACCACGCCCACTCCCGGCGTACGCAATATCAACTACCCCCCTTATGTCATCAATCACGATCAGACCGGTCACGACCTCGCGGTGCACGCCGTCTCTCCCAATGCCACTCATGCCGATGGGATTCAGGAGTATGACGTCCACAATCTGTATGGGCACCAAGTTCTCAATGCCACCTACCATGGTCTGCTCGGTGTCAATTCCACAAAACGCCCGTTCATTATCGGACGCTCGACTTTTGCCGGATCTGGGAAATGGGCTGGCCACTGGGGCGGCGACAACTACTCCCTGTGGGCCTACATGTTTTTCTCCATCCCGCAGGCGCTCTCCTTCTCGCTCTTTGGAGTCCCAATGTTTGGAGTGGACACGTGCGGCTTCGCCGACAACACCAACGAGGAGCTTTGCAACCGATGGATGCAGCTTTCCGCCTTCTTCCCTTTCTACCGAAACCACAACGCGATCGGGAACAATCCACAGGAACCGTACCAGTGGCCGTCGGTTGCGGAGGCTTCCAAGACCGCCATGAAAATCCGATATGCCCTTCTGCCGTACATCTACACTCTGTTTTACCAAGCGCATGCGACGGGTTCGACGGTCATGCGCGCGCTGGCTTGGGAGTTTTCAAGTGATCCCTCGCTGGCCGTGGTGGACACGCAATTCCTCTTGGGTCCTTCCATCATGGTGGTTCCGGCGCTTGTGCCCTCCGTCGACACTGTGCAGGGTGTCTTCCCTGGCGTGAAACAGGGTCAGATTTGGTATGACTGGTACACACAGACTGCTGTCGACGCCCAACCGGGTGTGAACATGACCATCTCTGCCCCTCTCGGTCATATACCCGTCTTCGTGCGTGGGGGCAGTGTTCTTCCTATGCAGCAACCTGCTATGACTACCCGGGATGTCCGCAGCAGCCCGTGGTCTCTACTGACGGCGCTCGATGGCGATGGAACCGCATCGGGCCAACTGTACATTGACGACGGGGAAAGCCTGGTTCCAGATGCCACGCTCAGCGTTGAGTTTGAGGCGTTCCAATCCAGCCTCCGCGCCTCGGCTACTGGAGACTGGAAGGAACCTCAGTCACTCGCCAATGTCACCATTCTCGGGCTGACCCATCAGCCAGGGGCAGTGACCTTCAACGGACAGAAGGTCCCGGCGTCATCGGTCCAATACAATGCCCACTCGCGGGTGTTGTTGGTGAGGGACCTGCAAGACCTGACTTCGGCTGGCGCTTGGAACGAAGATTGGGTTCTGAAGTGGTAAATTCGATTGACTGGGGTGATTACCACCCGTAGGGGTCGGAGGCCTGCGGAGCAGCTTGCTGTGTACTCTGATTGGTATATCCGGTGCAGCTCGCCAATGCCAACACGGTGGATGGGTCCATAACCGGGCAGATGGTTGCTCAATGGCGGGTTTATCTGGGTTGAAACAAGGATCCCACTTCCCTACACAAGACAAATTTGGTGCCGAAATGACGAGAAATTCCAACACGCTTCAATCCCAACGCATTATGCGGCCCTTGGCATCATCTCGTACATTGACCGTCCCGTCTAAACTTCAAAGCCAAATATAAAAAAGTGATTGTGAGGGATGATACGAGACTACTTGGCCACCTCCAGGATCTCTCTGAGCCCTCGTAAATCGGGCAGATTCTTCTTTCCCGCGAGCACATCGCTTAGCGTGTTCGCAGCGATCTTTTGGATTTGCTGCTCGTCCGTCACACCCACCTCGGCCAGGGTGTGGGGCAATCCCAGCAGCGCGACAAAGCGTGCAACGGCGTCGCCTGCCTGCGTCTCCTCCCACCCTAGCGTCTCATTGAATATGGTGAGGATGCGCGCCTGGGGTGCCTCTGTCTCGTGCGCGGTATACCGAAGGACATGCGGGAGCAGGATGCAGCTTGTGATTCCTGTTCCTTTCGATTAGGGACATCTACGATCGTACCATTGGGTTTTCTTACCATGCTGTACATTGGCCAAGCTTCCCTGAAGTACTTATTAGCACGGGGTTGCCTCGGGAGCAGATCCAGCAGTCTCTTACCAGTTGATGCCCCATTGCATGGCTGGCGCCAAAGCGCACCCCCCACTTCATGTACGGAAGAAGCGCCTCGCGCGATCCTTGCTGGCACTCCGAAATCCCGCGCAGCCGCTCTGTTTCGTCCATCGTCTCGCGGCCGGCGTGGTACTCGCACAGCCCGCGTAGCATCTTGCGCAGCCCCGAGGAAATGACTTCCTGTGCCTCGGCCGGACAGCCTGGATAGCACATCCCCTCGACGAAGTGGTCGACCGCGCGCATCCCCGATGCGAGCCACAGATGGGCCGGCGTCGTAGAGGCGACCCGCGGATCGAGCAGGATGAGTGACGGCGCGCCCTGGTTGTGCGCGAAGTGCTGCTTCTTGCCCTGTGGGTTCGTCGCGCTGGCGAACGTATTCCACTCGCCCGCGCTCAGGCTGGTCGGCACGCAGATCAGCCGCGCGGTTGGAGCCCGCAAGCGATCGTGGCCAGCCAGCCCCGTCACCGGATCGACCAGAGCTTCCATATCTGCCGCGCCAAATCCGGTGGGCAGCGTGGCCGCGAGAATCAGGGCCGCCTTGCACGCGTCGGAGTAAGAACCCGAGCCGATACTCACAACGGCGTCAATGGAGCTGGCCTGCACGCGGTGCGCGATGTCAATGACATCCGCGTAGGGCGAGTGGCTCCCGACTCCGATCTTTTTCGACACCTGGTACGGATCATGGGCCAGACGGTCTTCGAGGTTACGGATCAAATCTGTTTTGGTGTCGAGGCTTGTGCTGACGACGAGCAGCACGCGTTGTGCTTGCCACCGGGCGAGAGCTTCAGGGATGTCGTCGAGGTACGAGGCATGCAGAATGGCCTCATGGCCTTCACGGTCGGCCAGAGGGAGCTGTTGGACACGCATGATGAGTCGTGGTCCGGAGAGACGAAGAAGCGGCCGATGACGATGACGATGACGTTGTTTTGGAGAAAAGGAGGGGGGGCGGGGGGGCGGCGCCGAGCCGACCAGGGCGTGTGGGGTCTTTGGGAGAGGGGCGAGAGGGTGGTCTGGAGCAGTCCTAGTACTCGCCCCCAAGTCAGACCCCCAACCGCTGCTGACTGGGGCGCGAGTACTAGGAGTTGATGCCGGCGGGAGGAACGGAAGCAAGTCTCCGACAGTCTCTCGCCACGCTCACGCTGATTGGTTTCCCCCGACACCGCCCCTCCAATCATCTTCCCGGCCACGACCACATTTCACTTCCTTCTCATTCTCATCCATCCTCTTCGTTCGTTCTTGTACGGGGATTGGTATATTCATCGTCTGATTCTTTTGGCAATGTCTACCCAGTCGTAGACTCCTCCCTTCCCTCTCTTACCCAACTCCTGTCGCTTTGCTGGTGTGCCTGGTGATCCCTCCGCGCTAGCCTTGGCGATCTCCCCACGCCGTGCCTCTCGCAGATCTAGTGTCTGCTCGGCCCGCCGCAGCCTCATTTCATACTACATATTATTCTTCTTCTCCTTGCTGTATTCATTCCTGGGTTGCTACTCATCGCGTCGCTCGTTTGTGCTCATCGTGATCGCCCCTGTACCTCCGCAACCATGCTGGGAGAGCGCCACCCGGAGGCCAACCGGCTCTATGTGCCCCCATTACTCGAGGAGGACCCGCGCATGGCCGATCCCGACGCTTCCGAATACCTGCCACCCCCCGACGTCGAAGCCGGCAGCGTGCTCCCCGTTTGGCTACAAGAGTCATCCAAATCCTTTCGCTGGCAATGGGTGCCTTTGCCACTTCGCAAGGCCGGTCGTGCGACCGCACGATGGGTCAAGGGCCCGGATCCACCGCATACGCTCTTGTTGAAACCGTTGTTCCCGCGCGTTCAGGAGCTGCCCGTCCAGTATCTGGATCACTTTTTTCCCAAGCGCAAGCACAAGATCTCTCTCCTGATGCTTCTGTACCTGTCGTGGTTTCTGCCGTGGTTCCTGGTTTTGCTACACTCGCGCTCCTCGGGTTACATTGAAGGATATGGCCGGCCACAGACTCTCTCATGCGGGACGAATTTTTGGTAACCACCCTCCGCGTTTCTCGGCCTGAGAAGATCGGCGCTAACGCTTTTGGTCTTGATTCAGGGATTTCGGCAACGGATGCGGTCTCAATGGGAACAACTGCCGTCCATTTTCCTCCTCGACGATCGCCTTCCGGTGCCCTGCGAACTGCCGGGATACCAAGCTGTTAGAGCCTCATATTGTTGGAAATCAGTCCTACAACTACCAAGGACTGGTGATTGGGGGCCCGCAACCAGATAACCCTGATCCCGCCATCTATCGCGCCGACAGCTTCGTCTGTCAGGCGGCGATTCATGCTGGAGCTATTTCGAACTCGGTCGGCGGCTGCGGTGTGACGAAGCTTGAGGGTGCAGCGCACTCTTATCCGTCTGTCAAGCAGAACGGGATCGAGTCTGTGGGATTTCCGTCTACCTTCCCCAAGTCCTTCAGTTTCCTGAAACTATCGTCGTCGCAGGCGACCTGCCCACCCGACCCGCGCTGGCCGCTCCTCGGGGTCACTATTGCCGCGGTGGGCGTCCTATGGCTCTTTTGTACATCCCCACCGGTGCTGTTCTTCAGCACGTTTTTCATGGTCTTTTGTCACACGGGCCTGGTCGCCGATCCGCCCTCATACCCGTTCCTGACCGACCTCGTGTCGGCCCTACTATCTCGGTTGCTGCCGGCATCGTTTGTGGCCTATGTCCTCTACAAATTCTGTGCAGCGCCACTACTGCAACCTATTACGTCGCCCATCTACCAGCTGTCGAAGATGTTCCTATATTTGCCGCCAGTCTTCTTCGGTGCTCTGAACAACTACACCTTTGCGCGTCTGATTCCACTTCAGCGCCTGACACCGAAGGACATTCAGCAACAGCCCGGAGCGAAGCTGGCCTTGGCCCTAGTGATTCCTACCATTATCATCATCGTCCTGAGCCAAGCATGGCAGATTCGCCAGGGTGGGCTGATGCCGCGCTACCTGAAGATATATTGCACTATGGGCCTGATCATTCTTATTCTCCTCCCGCTTCCGGGCCTACGCCTTCGCATTCATCATTACATTCTCGCCATTCTGCTCATGCCAGGTACCGCCTTTCCAACCCGCCCCTCGTTGATCTACCAGGGGTTGCTTCTGGGTCTCTTCGTCAACGGTGTCGCACGGTGGGGATTCGCCTCGATTATTGAGACACCTGCAGCTCTCGGCGAACGAGGGTCCGGCTCCGATGGACACAGCTGGTGGTCTACATATCCCAACATCACAGATGCATCGGTCAAGGTCTCCTTGTCGGACTTTGGGACCAGCAACACCCATCGGGGCAACGGAAATATCTCGTTCGCTCTCTGGGAACATGAGCGGATGGCTAATCTTGCTGTCGACGGCATTTCAGTCCTGCTCAATGACGTTGAGCGCTATCGAGGCTATCTAGACGAAGACCCGCAAGGTAGATTCACCTGGCACCGCCATGGTCACGACGGCTTGGAACTGCAACATGGTTCGCGCCTGGCACGCCGCAACGGTGATGGGCAGCAACCCGTGGGTCCTCAGTCCATTCCGCTCACTGAGGGTGATCCGGACGATGAGCCTGAAGGCCTCTTCTTCCGCTTTGCATTTCTGAGGGGTTCTGAGGCTGGCATGTATGGACCTGCAGGGGTCTGGGAGAGTGATGGCGAGTGGCATTCTCCATCGCCCCCGAAGAAGTAGTCGTGGCTTATGATTCTGGTTTCTGGAGTTTGCTGTACCTTTGTTGATACATAGAAACTATACTGGTGTACGGTCTGGGATTGGGCAGAGGCGCTGACAAGAGATGGACGATCCCGTACACGGCTTTTGATGTGTTTATATAACTGTCGAGCTTATACCATGTGCCGTCTTTATTTTTACCTTGGTCAATCTATACTTGGAGTAGCTGCTTTTGTATTTGTGATCTTCCCCGCTCCGCGAATCCTCGGCCCTGGAGGTTGATTGTAGCTTGCTCGAAATACTTGCTACTAAGATCATGGATGATGGATGATTCCTTCATAATCCGGGAGTTCAACGAACCAGGTGGACAGGTGAAGCAGGTGTTGTCATAGGTGGTCCTAAATGCTACATCGTTATATCGTCGATTCCTGTGGTCTCATGTTTTTCATCATTCATTAAATATCCATCGGCTCTTATATGGATTGATCTACTTTATTGCAGTTCAACGATACTGTTCATACGCTTGAGCTTCCTTCCTCCGCATGTCCACCCGCTGCAACACCACGGCGTTGTAAATTTCGGTCACGTCTTTTCCGTCCTGCAGCACTTCGCGCTCGTGCCGAGCCGCTTCCTCCTTGGTCATGCACACCAATTGATCCAGCTCCACCGCAACGGTCTTCTGTCCTTCTTTCTCCAAGGCGAGATTCAATCTGAATCCAGCAGCTGGCACCTGCCACGGTACTAAGACCAGTCGGGTGCCCAACCCGCTAACGGCGCTCTTCCCGCGCCAGACGTCGTCCACAAGAAAAGCAATGTCGTCCTTGTTGATGGGCAGACGGAGTCCGATGGGGTCTTGGCCGGCTACCTGCCGAACTAGACGTTCGTACAGACTCTGAAAAGAAGCCATCATGCCATCGTACATCTTGTCGCGGCCCTTCGAGCTCATGCTGTATTCGATTGGATATCCCGTCACGCTGCAGATCACATGGTTGGCGACTGTGTACCCAAAAACCGCGGGCATGGTCCCCAACACTGGCAGAATGCGCACCCGGAAGTCTGGGAGCACGCCCAGTTCGCCGACTTGGCCCTTGGCATACTCAGTTTCCGGTAGCGGGAGCAGACTCGCCTTGCCTGGTCCTGGCTTCTCAGTCGAGAACACTGCTGCAACCCCTGAACTGACACCCATGGCTTTTAACCGGCGCCGCGTGCTGCGAGACAGAGGATCATCCGTGCTCTGGGAGATGTCACCAACCGCGATGCGAGTCGGGTCTGACTTGCAGCCCGCACCCATAGATGAGATCACCGGCAGAGAGTTTGTGTGGCAGTAGTATAACAAGCCCACTTTAGAGGTGATATTATCGATACAGTCAAGCACGTAGTCAGGACGGCGTCCCTCGCCGTCATGAGTCAAAGTCCACGGCCCCAGCAATGTTTCAGCGACTGACTTGTCGAACAGCTCGTTGCGGCAGTCGAACATGACCCACGGAGCAATCTGTTCGAGTCGCCGCCGGATGCAGTGTACTTTTGGTGTTCCCACGTCCGCCAACGTGGCGACGGCATGTCGGTTCAGCGATGAGAGCGTGACCTGGTCAAAGTCGATAAGCCGGATCTTGGACACACCTGACCGGGCCAGTGCCGCAGCAGCGTGCGATCCAACACCCCCACAGCCGACCACGACGATAAAGGAGGAGCGCAGTCTTGCTAGGCCTTCATCGGTAAGAAAGACGCGGTTGCGCGCGAGTTGTTCAAGAATGAGGTCTGTCGGAGCCGATTTTAGATATACGCGTCGCAGCAACATTGAAGGAACATACCATCATCGTAGTCTCCTTGTTGCGCCCTGCGCGCCAAAGCTGTGCCGCGTTCGTCCTCCTGACTCAATTGCGCATCCGAGGCTGCGGCGCCGAACTGCGTGAGCTTCAAGTCCACCAATTAATCCACGGATTCTAGAATTCGAGAGGGGAAAACTCACCTTCTCTGCATGGTGTCGCTCATCAATCTCCGGGATGGAAGCCTTCAGGTCATGCACGGCCTCCTTCCGGCGAAAAGCTTGGTATCCGAAAATCGCGCCCGCTACAGCCGCGCCAGATAGCACAGCCGTTGTGACGAGCTGCGTGGGCTGGGAGCCCGCCTGGCGCTGCAGCCAGGACGCCATGTTCTCCAGCACACCCTTGTCCTCGGCGTCTGATTTCTTGCGTTGGGGGTCTGGATGGAATCTGTCGCGGTCGTCAGAATCGAAGCCATAGGCGAGGTCGGCATCATTGGGCGCGGAGGACCACCACTTGGGGGGTTGGGGATGCATTATTGGGCCTGCAAGAATGAAGAACTTACTGGACACACCTAGTAGTCGTCTATAGTAATGATGCAAGTGAACGAACCAGTCGAGAACGGGATTGATCATCGGCCATCACGTGAGGCGGTACCAACTGTAGTAGATCGAGTCGGAACCGACAGGAACTAATGAATACGAATACTGAATCATGTGGACAAATAGCGATACGAAGTGAAACTGTCCAGCTTACATTGGCATCCATAAGATGATTCCGGCCAGTCGTTGTGTCGACAGGGTGGTGCAATCGTTGCCAGTCATGTGATCAGGTGCCTGAGTTCGACCGGCTTCCTTCCGCTCCCGTTGTTGCATCGCAGCAATCATCATGTCGACCTTGGCTCCCTTCGTGGTGCCGGCGCTCAAGAAGCATACCGCCACTGTCATCATTGCCCACGGACTCGGCGATACGTGAGTAGACGACCCGGCAACTGGATGGACACGTTGACTGACCATTGACCCTAGTGGCGCCGGATGGTATCAACTCCTCGAATGCCCGAATTGTTGGTCGACGTTAACACCCGCAGGATGGCCCTTGCCCAGAACTGGCGCCGTCGAGGCAAGTTCGACGAGGTGGCCTTTGTCTTCCCCAATGCGCCTTCGATTCCTATCACCTGTGTACGGACAAGCCTGACCGTCCATTTAGCGACGAGTGACTAACTCGTCCTCCAGAATTTTGGCATGAGTATGCCGGGCTGGTACGACATTGCCAAACTCGGCTCGGATGTATGACTTGCCCCCCTCCTCGGAACCAAACCCTCACTTACTCGCCAATTAGGTGGACTGGAAAGAATCCGTTAACCTGCAAGACGAACCGGGCATCCTCCGCTCACGCGACTACTTCAACACACTGATCAAAGAAGAAATGGAAAAGGGCATCAAACCGTCGCGGATCGTGCTGGGTGGGTTCTCGCAGGGTGGGGCCATGTCGGTGTTCACTGGTGTGACAGGGAAGGAGAAGCTGGGGGGTGTCTTTGGGTTGTCGTGCTATCTTCTTCTCAGCGATCGCATCAAGAATTACGTTCCCGAAAACTGGCCGAACAAGAACACGCCTTTTTTCTTGGCCCATGGGTTGGATGATGCCGTGGTGCCTTTCCAATTTGGGGAGAAGTCATCGCAGACCCTAAAGGAGCTGGGGTTGAAGGATGTTACGTTCAATCGTTATCCGTATGTCGCTTGTGGCCTCTCACATGGGTATATGCTAACAGTGATTGCAGCGATCTCGGCCACTCTGCGGATCCCGCCGAGATCGATGATCTCGAGCAGTTCCTGGGGAAGACTATCCCGCCCGAAGGAGATGGCCAGGCGACTGCTGGTTTATGACTTGATGATCCCCATCTTAGCTGGCCGGAGAGACTGCAGTCTTCCTGGGGCCCTGCCTTGATTCTCGGATTTTTGATACTACTTTTTGCGATTGCATTGTCTCGATCCCAGTCTCCGAAAGCACCTGATACTACTCGAAAGCAGCGCTAGTTGATTTTGGAGGATGCTGCTCGGTACATAGGCTTCTGGTTATACATGAGATAGCGGTCCGAGCGTGTTCTCATCGATATCCGCACAATAAGATTACTCTTCAGCTCCACGAAATGGAACTCCTAAGTGGAAAATGCCCTTGCCACGGTCTCTTCAATCGCTCTAGCCATCTCATCCGTATTCTTCGCATCGAAGGGCACCATATGCTTCGATCCATGATCATATAACGCCGCCTTGGAGGGCTCACACAGACCGTGCAACTTCATGCTCTGCGGATACAGCGGATCCAGCTTGCCGACAATATGCGCCGTGGGGATGGGGATGGTGTATGTATCCGGCTGCGGCGTGATATATGCCATGCCCGAACGGTCGAACGGACACCCTCCACAGAGAAATACAGCCGCCCGGAACAACGGCGGAGCATGTGGGTACACCTTGCCGTGGTGGATTATCAGCGCCGCGGCCAGCGCCGCGCCCTGGCTGAAACCCATGACGGCATCGAAGGGCCCTTGTTCGGAAATGATCCTGTAGGTATGCTCGAAAGCCTCGAAGACGCCCGCTCCGGGCGTCGGACCACGCGGGTAGTGGTTGTAGAACGGACCGTCGAAGATGCCTTCGAGTTCTGGACCCTCTCGAGTCAATATTGCTTGGCTCTGGGGGACAAGGAACATACCCGACTCGACTTGAGCATCCTGGCGGCCATTCACGAAGATAAAGCGGTGGCCCTTCTTCTCAAGCTGCTGTCGCAGTCCGCCGGTCTGGATTTCCAAGATCTATCCCGGTCGATCAGCAACAAAGAAACCCGCCGCCCCCCCGGAGAAAGGGATCTTACTTCGGCATTTGTTCCGGCGCCGTGCAGGCAGAGGAAACGCATGTTCGTGTGACGGGAGGATAATTACAGATGAGAATACTCCCCTGGCGCAGGTGTTGGTTTATGTATCGTGCGGATGCAGGGGGCCACTCGGATCAATCAGAAATCCAATCAATAATGGACCGGTCCTTGCCTCCTCTGACCAATTGACTTACGACGGAGTAGTTCGTCACTACGTAGCTATTGGTAAATCATTGTGTTGCTGGTGTTCCGTGGTACATTGATTTATTAGTGTAGCTTCCGCCCTCGGAGTGTTCAACGGTTGCAACCCCTGTCGTGACCACTCCCAAAGGTTGCCAGGATCAGAGACATTGATTCCATCATCGCCCCCATAACTGTCTCGATTTCCTTCATTCTTCTTCTTCTTCTTCTTCTTCTTCTTCTTCTTCTTGCAAGGTCCCTCATCATGGACAGAGTGATCTGCATCTTTAGTAGCTGCTCGGGTCGCTCCGGCTTCATCGGCCCCGTCGCTATGACATTCTGGTCTCACCCCTGATCGCTGAACTAGGAATCATGGATTTCCGCGACGTGCTCTGCCTGCGCGGCTTTGCGACTTATGCCGCCCGTCATCCCTGGGAGATGTGTGCCAGCGTCGGGCCGACCCTGAGCGAGGTCACTTTTGGTCTGCTCGGGTCGTCGTTCAAGCCAGAGCGCGACTTCAGGAATCTCGAGGGCAAGGTTGTCTTGGTTACCGGAGGTGAATCCTCCAACGACTCCCGACCATTGTCGAATACTAACTAACCGCCTGGCCTCTACAGGGAACACCGGCCTGGGCAAGGAGACCATCCTCAAGCTCGCGGAACACAACCCGGCACGCATCTACTTGGCAGCCCGCAACGAGTGCAAGGCGCGAGAGGCGATCAGATCGATCCAAGCCAGCCTCTCGTCCCCCGCCGACATCAGGTTTCTCCCGCTCGACCTCGCATCTTTCACATCCATCCGGGCGGCGGCAGACAAGTTCCAAACCGACTGCGACCGGCTGGACCTCCTTATTCTCAATGCGGGTACAATGGGCAATCCGCCGACCACAACCGAGGACGGGTTTGAGGTGCAGCTCGGTACGAACCATGTGGGCCATTTTCTCCTGACGAAGCTGCTTCTGCCCACGTTACAACAGACCGTCGACCGCGAGAAGGCGACGGGGCTCGACCCTGACGTCCGCGTGATAACACTAGCTTCGCTCGCCCATACTATCGCCCCATCTTCCCTTGAAGGAATGACATCCACACCCGGCCTGTTAGCAAGTAGCACCTGGACTCGCTATGGTGCCTCCAAGGCAGCTAACATTTTATTTGCGTCCGAGCTTGCGCGCCGACATCCCGAGATACTGTCCGTAGCGGTCCACCCGGGTACGGTCAATAGTGACCTGTACGAGCATGCTAGGCGGGTCGATGCCATGACAAAGTATAGCGTGGGTGTCATGCTACTTTTCTTCCGGAATGTCTCCAGTGGCGCGCTCAATCAGCTCTGGGCAGCTGGGGTTTCCAAGGAGAAATTAGTCAATGGAGCTTACTATACCCCTGTTGGGTATCGCACCAGCGGAACGACTGTGGTCCGGGATGCAGATCTCGCTCGGGAGCTCTGGGACTGGACGGAGGAGCAGGTTGCCGCCCACACGGACTCCAAAGCCCTATGACAAGCGAGGTACATACACACTCTATCTTTTGCCACACCTCTGTACAGCCCGAACAGCCCGAACATAAGGTCACCTTGGTTTTTCCTCCTCGCGGAAGAAGGCATTCATAGGGAGTCAATATCAAGAGGAAGGGACGAAATCACGTTACTATTCTTGGCTTGTGTGGGTTAGCCTCCATTCTTTCTCTTCTGTAGACATCCCAGTTGACTCTTTCCATTTCATGACTTCCGTTCTTCAGAGTACTATTGACCGATATTTGTATATTTGTACCGCTAGGCCAACAGGCATGTTATGTGCCTCCTGTATGGGATATAAGAGCAACCTCAAGAATGCGCCCTGAAAATGGACTACATACAAGAACCGAGAGAGGAGCCAGCGCCTCGCCAGAATAAGACCAACGCACTCTAGGATGTAAGAGGATCCTTCGCCGGTCTCCTGTCTAGAGACTCCAACATCCGCCGCCAGGACCTGCTAGCCCGTGCGGCATGCTCATCAGCCACCTGCGGGTTATCGACCCCGAGAGTCCGCGAGAATACCTCCATGCTAACCCATCCCGAATACCCCAAGCGATTGAGACAGGCATCCGCGACTTCTCGGATTGGAAGGTAACCGCCTCGCTCTTCCTCGCACGGAAAAAGGCGAGCATTCCGCGACCATGCCAGGAGCTTGGGCATTCCCGGTGCTTGGAGAAAGGGAGCTCTTGGGTCGACCCGCTCGCCATCGGCCAGTTGAACGATGATCACTCGGTCTGGGTCGACCTCTCGGACCAGCCGATCCATCGACTCTTGCAATTCCTTGTCCGCACCGGCTGGTTGGCGTCCCGTTGGGCTGGCGGGATCGGCCCACATGCGAGCCGCAATATTGAAAGTATCCAAACAGAGGCCTAGATTAGACCGGTTGGCCCGCCGCACTAGGTCCCAGGAATCCTCCCAAGTATTGATGTGTGTACCCCAGGCAAGCGCCTCGTAGGCGACGCGCACGGGGTGTGCCAGATCGGCGGCCTCGGCTAAATCGGAGGCTAACCGGTCTCGGTCCCCAGTGATCTCGGAGGCATCGAGGAAGGATGACGGAATTAGAATGAAGAGATTGTCTCCAAGGATCTTGGCTAGTTGGACCCAGTGCTTGAACTCATCAATGCGCTTCGCGTGGCGGGCCGGATCGATGAGGCCTTCGTAATGGCGAAAGGGCTGCAGCGCCAGCACTTGAAGATCGCGCTGTGCACAGAGATCGCGGATGGCGTGTGCGGCGTCGATCTCGTGCTCCCGATCGGAGCGATCTGGAACAGCGCCCGACGACTGACAGCACAGCGTCTTGGCAAGCTGCGCTAGATCATCGTGAAAGAGCTCGAGGCCTTGCTGGCCATTTTTTGCAGCGGCGTCAATTTTGGCCCTCAATGGGTGCAGGTGGGCGGCTCCGAGGCTCACGGTCGCAATGGCCGGCTTCCATCGGGCGTCGGACTCCGAGTTGGGTGGGCTGGGAAGAAAACTCATAGCCCACGTTGGTTGTTCGTATAGGCAGCAATTTAACACAGAGCGAAGATGGTGTTGCCCGGAACCATTCTTCCTCCCCATATATAAAGCAAGCAAACAAGGGCAACAGTGTAGATCATGGCCTCACGCCACTCGTCATGCAGATGCTTTTCGTGTGCCCTGTCGATCGAAGGGGTTCCGGTGGGTGGAGTGGGCCTTTCCAAGCGTTGCGAGTGGTCCAGACACCGAACTGTGGCACCAAGAGTTGTGCAACCAATGTATGTAAAATTCGATGGCGATCTGCGTCACTAGGCACTAACGACAATATAGAAAACTACTTATCGATCTCTAAAGCAATGTTGTTCTCAGGACACAGCAATGACTGCAGGCACTCTAGGTATTCTAGCGGCCAGGGAGTGAAGCTAACGTCACCATCGCCAGATTTGGCACCGTATCATTGCGACACAGACAAACAATATATAACCCCATCTAGCCAACCAGCTTGTTCTGTCATCCTTGCCTTGTGTGACCTATACCTGGAGTTTTTATTGTCTTGTCCATATGATCGTCATTATCCCCTTGTACTTCCCGATTAGCCTCCTCGGGCAGCTCGTGTAGCTCATGCAGCAAGAGTGCCCAGACTCTTCTCCTCATACCTACTTCAGCCAGCACGAGCTGAAGTTGGCAGCCAAGGTGCCGACAGAAACCGTATTACGGCGGGTACCGCTAGGTCCAGTCATTATTTCATACCAGACCGGTCACCGCCTCTGCAGGACGCCCCTTCATGTTCCAGACCTTACCATCGCCAGTCCCTAGGGGAAAAGGTAGTCTTGACAGAGAACCATAGATGGGGAATTCGAGAGGGTTGATGCAGCACAGCAGCAGCCGGGGTCTGTGGTGGAAGATATTTTTGAGTTATGGAGCGGCGGAGTCGAGTTTACAGGTAGCGTGGGGCCATCTATATCGTCTTGGCAAGAAGCTTCGACTCCAGACATCGATTAACTACATAGAGGATAATGGGCCTCTTCCTTCCAGAACGGACAAGAGAGGAAAATCGTCGGTTGATAAGCGGATGCTTGCTGACCGAGACGCTCAAATTGACGCCGAGCAGGTCTCCGGCCAACATTCCCTCTGGCGCGATGTGTATCGTGTCATGCGATGTCCCGGGCCTCCATGTCGCCACGAAGGTCAATATTGCTGGCAAGACCCAGAGAGCAAAAGACACCACAGGTTGAAGACACACCATATGAAGGCCCTCGTCAATACGTGGAGCAAGGAGGAATCCTTGAGACCGATGATGATGTTCCCGAGAGCCTTCGGGAGCAGCCGTATGCTGAGGAGAACCAGCGACATGAAAAGCGGAAGAAAACCCCAGATAATTCTGCAGTCGGTTCGATGTGTCCCCCGATCAATATCAATGTCCTCCCGGCTGCTCAACAATCGATATCTACTCCTGATAATGGCGCCACGCCTGCTAAGCCTGGCTGTGCCGACTCAATCATGGTTCACGGGCTACTTGATGTCGCCGTGGAGGAATATACCGAATGGCAGCAATCCCGGGTGAGCAACGAGGCTTTCAGAGATCACATCAACAAAGCACGCGATGTGACTCTCGAAAATTGCCTCGATCTCATGCAGATTTATGAGGATCGAGACCAGGGCTTTTTTGTCAACCATGGCGTGAAAGTAGGTGCCGCCCAGCGGTTCGTAAGTGACATCGGCCTTTGGGTGAAACGACATGCAGAAGTCAATTGCAACGAAAATAACAGTAATTCAGTCTAGTTATGTTACAGTGAATAGAACTGCCGACATTGCCATATTGAATTTATCTTTCTGCACGGTTCCGGAATCTACTTTCCGGCGTGTCTAGTACTTGCCATGGAAGAGACCTAGTATATCAAACGATTTCTATAGTCTGTAGTTACTACAATGATTTTCGAAATCAGTTTTACCAGCAATCTCTCTCTCTGTTTCCCAGGCCCCGCCACTAGTCCGTACTAGGAAATAAATCACCGGCTTCGCGCTTGTCTAACTAACTAGTGGAGCGGGAAGTGTTGCACAGTGGCGCGTCAGGTCAGGACTGACAGACCGACAGGAGAACCAGGGAATTCTGGCTGCCGCTGAGCCGAATGCTGCGACGGAATAGAATAATGAAGCAGTCTAACGTCTTATTATAATCGAATAACGAGAGTTGTATGTGGTAGAATCTAGACTACAGGAGTTCTGCCCTCCAACCATCTCGATGCCCTGTCTGTAAGGCCAAAATCTGTCACGTGGGCGCTGGGCGCCAGCCCGGCTGCACTAACTAGTTATGTGTCAGTGCAATTATCCACCTGGTAATTTACAATATGATCCAGCTGCTGCATTCCTAGCGCTTACTCAGCTAACCGCCACTGTCTATTATGGAAACTGGCGCCCGATGTGGAATTTACACGTCCATTTTCCACTCCGACAATTCCCGCCTGTCTGCTGTATAAATACAGTCAGAATAGCTAGTCTGAATAGCATCGATTTCATCATTCTCCAATGAGACTACTAGGTAGAATTACTAGTGCATACGCCCATCAGACATCCTGACATTATGTATCTTCAATGAGTCAGCGTAAATTACAGTAAGTTCCCATAGAATCTGATACAACGTTCTAGGCAGGGAGGGGGATCTCTCGATATGGCTTGGTACTGTGCCCTGCCTTTTCTTTATCGCTGGAAACGCGGTAGAAGAATCTGCGGGGGAAAAAATAGCCCCCTAAATATTTTCCTGGCTGGACTTAGGGAGCAGCTCAAGGTATGAAAAACAAGACGTTACCTTTACGACGCAGAGAATATGAAGGTTTCTTCAGAACGCGATAGAACAGACTTATAAAGCACATGTCCACAAGTCGACATAGTGCCGCAGAAACCTATTTTATGAAGTATTTTGACGGCATGTCTTGAAGAGAAAGATAAGTTACATGTCAACGCATTTTGTTAGTAAACAACCCCAGATAGAATAGCTTTGCGTAATAATAGCCGTACCAGCTAAGCTTGTGTAAGTTCTGCACCGTTGGCAGCTTGCCGTGCGGCTTCTTCAGACACAGCCGCGTTGGGGGGACCAGGGCCTTGGTATAACACACCGCTAGTGTGGACATCGTCAGAGACCCTGTCTCTGATCTTGTGATTTTCGCTTAGATCAAAAGACGATACCTGGGACAGGGTATGGGCATGCATGGCGTGAGTATAGGCTTCCACGGCACTCTGAATTAAAAGATTGCTAGCACTAGTGCCACTAGAGTCGAAGATCGACAAGGGCATCTTGGGCTGTAACGATTGTCCGCTGGTGGGGACATCGTCAGAGACCTTGTCGCTGATCTCGTGGTTTTCGCTTGAGTCAAGGGTCGATATCTGGAAAAGAATATGGTCCTGCATGGCGTGAGTATAGGCTTCCAAGGCACTCTGGGTTGAAAGATTGCCCGCACTGGAGTTGACGACGGATACGGGCATGGTGGGCGGCACGATTGATGCGTGGCGTATTTTCGGTCACTAGTGGAATTTATGTTGTCGTAATAGAATGCTATAGGCCTTACTGATAACTTTTGGAGTCAGCGCGGTTAACTGACTAGCGAAGCAGCGGTCAATAACCTAAGAAGATAGGAAACATCGCCTTCCGAAGGGGTTGCAACTCATCAAGACAAGAAATAAAGACTGTCTCAACAAGATGGTATGATAACAATTCCATGCGCTTACCTTCTATACAGAGAGTCTAGGCTCAGCGAGGATCCTTGATTGTAGGCAGATGTCGTCTGACTTGAGCAGAAGGTTGGCGAAGGCAAAAATGGGCGTATAAAGGTATGCTTCGACGAAATCGTTGTAGAAGCAAGTAGGATAGAATAGTACCAATGATAGAGGTAAAAAATAATTGGAGGACAACTCACCAAAGGTAGAGGATACAGTGATGTTAACGTGCAAATTCAGAGAAACCAAGAGGGGTTGAGAATCTACGCTGACTAAAAAAGACAACAATTGTTAATGAGGGGTATTACTATAATTTACGGTGACTTATCCAAGATACAGGGGACAAAACTAAGGCACAGCGGAAATATACAGTGGCACCGCAAATGTCTGTGAACCCCCAAAGTACCTTTCTTTACCGCCTCCTTATAAGAGACATACCGCCCACTAATAGTAGTTTGTGAGTGGAGCGGACACTAATTGCCGGCAGAATACTAGCGCGATACTCTAGGGGGTCAGATTTTTGCGGTGCCATTGTATCATAATACGGACTAGCTGTTGGAGGTGGGGCTCAGGAAACACAGAGAGAGACTGCAGGTACAGTACTTCCGGAAATCAGTGTCACCATCTACACTCTTTGATTCATTCTCGAACCCTAATGCCAAGAACGCTAGATTGGATGTAGGATAGTGCACGAAGAACTTAGAATACCTGAAACATGGTTTATACAGTACTATAATATAACCACTCATCTTTACGGAGATGCTTTAGAATATTCTACAAGGACTGTTGAGGTGATTATCACCCATAGAGCAGCGCAGGTGTAGTTATAGTCGACAAGTTATTGTCATTGATTATACAAAATTTGGCTCTACACTCGGTATTAATACGAGGACCACGATTGAGCGAATAATCATATGATTTCTCTTTTTCCGACATCAGGGTGGTGCATCCTGAATATTTACCCTGTCGTCTCCCCAGTAATACAGTATGTACACGACAATGTAAAAAGAACCTAAATTCAAGCGCCTATTCCAAGAGCATCCAAGCCAAACCCCCAATCCACCCAGCCACAAAAACAGCTGTCAGTATCCCCGCGCCGGCTCGATCTCCTGTAGTGGTAGGCGCGAACTGAACTTCATTCGAATGATCATTCATGCCCGCGTTCGGGTTACTCGTACTCGACCCACCGGTCGACGAAGTCAAGGGCCCTAAGACCTTCTGGGGCGCGCCATGGATGAACGGAATCAAATTGACAGAAAACAGGTCACTAGCAGAGATCTCCTGCTCCATTCCGGTGCGGCCGTCAAACTCACTCTGGTACCACGCACTCCCGCACTGATTGCCGTTCTGCTCGGGGCCCGTGCAGGCGGCGGCGGCGGCTTTAGCGGTCGCCTGGAGTCGGGGTAGGATTTTTTCGTAAATCTGTGGGACCAGGATCGCGGTCCAGCCGAGCCAGGATGAGGTATGGCCCTTAAACAACAGCTTGTTGCTGTCATAGCATTGTTTGGGGAATGGGTCGCAGACCGACTCGTATTCAATGTCACCATACTTAGTAGGGAAGAATTCATTCAGCGTCTTGTTGGCAAGTCCGTAGAGGGCTTTCTCCCATTTTTCTTGGTCAGCGCCCGTTGTCTAGCGGTGTGATGATTAGTTACAATCAAGGGAATGAATGGAGTAGATAGGAGGACGCACATAGTTATACATATAGGCCAGCCCCATGAGAAAGACGGAATAGTTGTATGAATTTTCACCCATGCCCTTCACCTTGCACTCCTCGGTGGTAGTGACTGAGTCGGCAATCTCCCAAGTCTGGTTGTTGATAAGGTACTCATTCGACCAGTTCCAGATCTTCTCCGCCCAATGGGCATACTGCTCATTATTAGTGTAGCGATAGAGACGAGCCGAGATCTGGAACAGTAGTCCATTCGAGATGGCATTCTTCATAGTATACCCACTCATGTAATTGTACTGCTGCCACCGCACGCCGCCGCCACAGGTCGTATCATCCCATCCCGTATTGCGCTGTGTCTGGGTATTGAACACCCCCTGCGCAAGCGATAGCCACGAGTACTGGCCGTAGTCGGTGAGGTTCAGCTCCGTAGCCGTCATGGCGGCAACGCCCCAGAACCCCTGGTCGTCATTCCCCATATACTGAGCCGCGTTCGACGGCAGGTAGTCGCCATTCCCAGCTTGGGACTGTAGTCCGACGCGGACTTCCTCATTGTATGTGGAGTCGCCCGTGAAATGCCAGTAGTACATAGCGCACAGGAACAGCACGGATCCTTCGTACCATTTATTAGGGATGATGCCTGGGCTCTGGCCCGTTTCGTTGCCAGTATAATATGACATGGCGCCCCATGTTGTTAGACTCGCTGCGCTTTTGATCGATGCTATTTGTTATCAAATAGTTAGCAAACGAGGCGGGGATAGAGAAGGGGGGATGGGGGGGATGGGTTCGCGCTCACCCTCACTGGTGATGTCCAACTCGATGGCCTGCGTGGGGGTCAGGAGCCTCGTCCCAGCCAGTAGGCCGGTCAAAGTGCCTAGTACACGCATTGATGAGTCAAGCCGCTCAACTTCTCTTTCAACCTAGGGGGTAGTAACTAAGTCGGTGTGGGGTGAAGAAGATAAGAAAATGACTGCCTTGCCCCGACGAGTCAATCCAACTAACAACTGGTGGGCCGACTGGGGGCCGACTGGGGGCCGCCTAGGACTTGGCAGACGCATGGTGTGGGAGGCAGTGAGAGTGCTTCAGGCCCCAACTTCTTGGCATTGGCCCTTCGCGAGGATCGGTTTGGGAGAGGTCTCAGAGTAATCATCCATCGTTATAGGCTATTATTTACATACTATACTAGGATATTGAATTACATTGTCCGCCCTTGACGTAGACACCGCGACCGAGCAGGATCTTCACCATGTCTCTAGAGCATTCGGATAATGCGGCTGAAAGCGCATCGAATTCTTTGACTTGCGCTGCTTTCTAGAGGTATGGATGCATGGCAGCGAAGTGAGCAGGTGGGAATCCGAGAAGCTTTTCATCCAAACATTTTACCCAGCAGCATCGAGGCGCTTATTTAGCTCGTTTCAATAAATTATTCATGTACTGGTTCATATCAGAAGCTTTATGTAGTCAAGTTTGGGAGACGAAGCAAAACAAAGACCGGCGGAGCTGGCCAGATGTATGGATGCCTGATGCTGGCCATACTGGGGACAGCGTGGGGCATCGAGGTGCGAAGACGTTTGTTATGCATATTACTCATACAATACGATACTTGATGTAATCCAGAATTTCTTTCCCAGAACAGACTATTATGTCTTGGCATTAGGGTTTGGGAATGAATCGAAGAGTGTAGATGGTGACACAGATTTCCGGAAGTACTGTAAAACTGATTTCAAATATCACTGTAATGCCCACAAAGGAATCCGTTCTAGTCGACCGGTGAGATTAGTTCCGAACTCCGTAGTAGTAGCTGCGCTACATCTCCTCTACGACCAGGCCAGCGTGCCGGAAGTGTCCGTTTGCGCTTTCCCTTCTTGCACCAACGACGTCAACACACCATTCGAGGAAGTTATCGAATCCTTGATCCGGATTTTCTTCGTAGGATTGCCAATTCCGCCGGATGAAGGCCTTGAGCTCAGCAAAGAACTCTTCAATAGGATTCAACTCTGGAGAATATGGAGGCAAATACACCAGTTTAACACCGGCTTCTGAGCACATCCGTTCTATTCGATCCGAGCGATGAAAGGATGCGTTGTCCATGACTAACACGGACTTCGGCTCAGGCCATTTCCCACAGTGCTGCAGAAGCTGCTCAATATAATCCTCAAAGACGGACGCGTCAGTGGAGCCTTGGAACACTCGAGACAAAACAATGCCATCTTGGGCATATGCAGGCAGTATCTGATATCGTCGATCACGGTGAAATTTGGACACTTGGACTGGTGCTATGCCTAGTGGGGACCAACCCGTTCGCCTGAAGCCTATCCTTTTATCACATCCAGATTCATCCACATAGACAATGTGGTAAGACTGAAAGCCAGAGATAAAGTGACGGTATTCGTTTACGCTCTCGGGCCTTGACCCGAGCAGCCTTTTTTGACCAGTTTTTGGACGCGAGGGCGCGACTGATACTCGATTTCGTTGCTTGAAGAGCGAATTCGTCCCACAGAAAAATCGCCATCTCGTCGAGGTACAAGGTAGGCTTTTCCAGCAGATGATCGCACAAAGCCTCGAGCATGACTGGAGTGATGCTACGAGGTCGTCCACCTTTGTTAGGCGGTGCTTTGACGCTGCCAAACATCCGTATATTGGAAGAGATTCTCAGGATGGTAGTCTTGTTGCAGCCAGCAGCCTGTGCCATCTGCGATATAGACAGTTCCCCACTGTCGATCATGTCACAGATAAGCTCATGCTTTGAATGAGCTAGGTTTGGGGCCATCTTGGTTCGACCACTCGTGATTGATAGTTAGGATACCCCTCCCTCGGGAGGCTATTTTGGAGGTGGGGTATGGAGGTGTTGGATGTATTGAATTTACAAGCGAATACATACTTGAACGTACTATGCAATCTACTGTAAGTAGCAATACACGGCCTACTGACAGGAGTACTCCGGAAGAACCCCAATATAGACTAGCGTGTCTTGGCGTTGGAGCCTAGAGAATCAATCGAAGAGTGTAGGTGGTTGCACCAGTTTCGGGACGCACTGTATTCATCCACCCACTCTCTACTCCAAACGTCTAAGCGTGGTTAGCAAGGTAGCAAGTTTATCGTAGCCTCCGAGGCCGAGGGCGACCGTTGCATTAATAAGCGAGCCGCTTGGTTAAAAAGCGGGTTGCTTGGGCATCTTTCACTTCCCCGTTATCAAACAACTCGACGTCAATTTATTGCTTACTCAACTCGAATACACATCCAGTTCACAATGCAACCAATTTCTAGAATTGACTGGGACAAAGGTGACAAGGATGGACTTGTCTCCATTGGCTCCCATAACCTTTATCTGTCCGTTTCGGGGCCTGATCGCAAGCCTGGAAAGCCTATCGTCGTTCTCATGCAGGGCCTTGGCAGCACAATCGATGAGTGGGTTGCAGTGCGAAAGCTTGTGCTTCCATTTGCTCGATGGTTGAACTACGATCGTTCAGGGATGGGGAGGAGTGAAGGTCCCGACCAGACACCACCAAGCATATCTGCAGCATCAGTCGCAGCAGAGCTCGATATTCTCCTAAAGAACGCCGGTATTGAACCTCCATTTATCGTTGTCGCTCACTCGTGGGGAGGCTACACTTCTCGCGAGTTTCTAGAACTCAGGCCGAACGATATCGTGGGCATGGTGTTCGTAGATTGCAATACTGAACATGTCTTTGACAGTGGTGCTTGGGGTTGGGACGTTTTCAATCCAGTCCTCGGTGGCCAGGATTTTGTTGAAACTACCGGTCTTGCGACGTCCCATGTCCTATCCAAGGAGGAGTGGAAAGCCTTCAAAGACGAGCAGGCTAATCCCCGACATCAAGCCACTGAGGCTGCTGAGATGCAGGCGGCGCCGAACGACAGACTAGCATTGGCCCTCAAAAAGCAACTTGAGAAGCTACCTCTCAAGGGTTATCCGGTCAGTGTAATCATTGCGGATACGCCTGAAGACTTTCAGAAAATGTATGACTTTGGAGTGGCCGCCGGCAATGGAACAGAAGAAGAACGAGCTCTGTTTCGAAAATATCTCGATAGATGGCGCGAGATGCATGAGGACTGGCAAAGAGAACTTTTGAGGCTTTCTCGTCTCAGTAGATCTATTCGTCTACATTGCGGTCACAATGTGCAGCTGTTACAGCCACAGAGCATAGTTAAAGAGATACAGTGGACTCTGAATAGCTACAGATAATTCTCAATCTGCTATGAAGTCTTGAGATCTCGGCTTGCAAAAATCTCGGATACAGGCCGAGTTCTCGGAGACGAACACCGAAGTGATCCCTAGGAGTTCTGTTCCCATGGATCGAGCTCTTCGGGCTAAGAGATGTAATCGACATGATACGGACTTGATCCTTCTCTAGATTCAGTCTCAGCCCTTGAGAGGCTCATGTTAGCTTATGTGGGGATACTAGCTTTTGACAGACACTAGTAACCACTGAAAATCGCAAACGGGGAGATAATCTATGAAAATAAAGATGCGCGACCTCTTACCAAAGTTATAACTGTTCTAAACACTAGCACGGCCTTCTAGTGAGTAAAAAACGAGTGTGGACGAAGGCAGCGTGCGTGGTGAAGGAGGGGTGGTAGGCAGCGATCTCACCAGCTCGGGAAAGCTTCTATTCACTCTGGACCGTTTGCAGAAAACATTCCACGAGGTTCCTTAGAGGTTTACTGTATTATAACGATGACTCGCTTATTACCGTTCATGCAAGACGATACAATGTGACAGGGGGTTTGTTGGGGTCTAACTAAATATTGTTTCGGGAGACAATCTGCGAGTGTAGACGGGGGAATCCGTTTTCGAATATAGCAGTACAATGATCAATAATAACAAAATTTGAAGATCGATAGAATTCATGGTATCACAACGCTCAAAATAATATGCTTATAGGTACAAACCTCCCCAAATATATCCCATATCCTCTAAACGCCTATATGCAAGACAAATATAATAGTTCCGCTCACGACCTCAGTTCAACCTCGTCCTCGGGAATGCCAGAGGAACCTTGATTACTTGTGAGAACCCGAGGGACTTATCGCCCTGCAACGCCTCAACGATGAGAAATTGGGCAGTAGGGTCACGTAGATTGGCATGAGTCTCAAAACCACCCTTAGGGTGGTTGCCTAGCAGAGTGCCCTCGTCGACAGTAGAGCCAGCCGCAGGCACGGAGTAGATATTCCAGTTATCGTGCTCGGTACACCCGTTCCAGCTCATGTACACGTACACATCACTCGTGTACTTAGAAATATACTTAGCCACGGCAGTAGGAGGGTAGTGAGGAATTGCGTGCCAAGGGTACTTGAGCGTACGGTAAGCCTGGGCATGACCGGGGTAGCCGAATTGACCGGTCATCGCGATATTGCCAGCACTGTCGAATTCCCTCCACCTACAATGAGAGCCGTAGCTCACGAGCATGTGGCCCGTGGTATTGTAGTCTAAAAGTTGGAGACTACCCTGGGTGGCGGCGAAGGCAGGGTCTAAGCCGTGCGAGTTGACCCGGCGGAAGACGACACCTGTCATGTTCTTTAGGTCGACGTTGATAGCGATTCCGGTCGACTCGGTTCGCGAGCTATCTCCTCTAGGAAGATCGTTGTTGAACACTGTGATAACCATGCTGTCGTCTGTTTCATTGCGTGCCCGGATGTCGTGCTGCCAGGCAAAGTGGGCGTCGTTAAGGATGTCACCTTCATTGCGATCCCATCCCTTTAAAGTGTTCAGCAATGTAGTAGTTGATTAAAAGGGAGAAGAGAGGTTTACCGAAAGGATCCACCGCTTGGTTCCATCGTGATTTATATACAGCGCGTAACAGTAGTAGCGAACGGAAACTAGGTAGCCGTGGTTGACGTATTGAATGGAGTTTATGTGGTAGCAGTCCCATGGGTTATGTTGCGCACCACCATGTCCCCCAACGGTCGATTTAGAGCCCCCTAGGGGAAGAAAATCCTGGTGCTCTGATGCACTCCAGGAGAAAATGATCTCATTGGTCTTGATGTCAACTTCATAAAAAAGGCCGTCGATGATCCAGGTGTCCGGGTGGCCAGCAGGCCGCATACTAGTGTCGCCTTGGGTGATGTTGATGGCAGAGACAATCATGCTGCCTCGAGGGGTGATGAGATGTTCATGGACATCCACATAGGTATCTCGCTTTCTGCCGTCGGGCGTGACGAAGTTTTGATCCGGAAGAGTCACTGTGTAGATCTCTTTGTAGGAAGTGTCGAGGATGTGGACGCGACCATAGCCGTACCCTAGTACGCCAGTCTCTCCGTCCCAGTAAGTAATGACGTCCTCACCAAAGAGCTTCTGCATCTTGAAATCCATGCTCTTTCTCTGGGTGCCTTGCCAGATCATGTCGCCATTGTTGTCGTAGATGGTCGGGGATGTGCCCTCCTCGACCTGAGTTCGAACATTGATGAAGATGTTACCTGGGTTGACTTCCCCGGTTTTGCCAATCATAAGGTGAGGAGGTGTCCATGGCCCTGTCTCAAAGTGTTGGGCTGGCCATTCTCCTCCTCCGTGGTGGGCAAGGGCGATAGAGGAGAGTAATACCCCTAACAGATATACGAAAGGACGCATGTTGACAATAGTAAAGGAAAGAGAAAAGGAAAAGGAGACGAAAGGAAAGGAAAGGAAAGGAAAGGAAAGGAAAGGAAAGGAAAAGAGAACGGAAAGGGAGCAAGAAAAATGTGTCCTCAGTCCGTCGAAGAGACGAGCCGAGCCAGTCATGCTCTTTTGACGCAGCCTTCTTCCTTGGGGCCTTGAGACCATGCCACTAGCTACAATAGTAAAATTAAGAAGGCAGATAACGGACGGGCCACTTTGAGGCGGACCATGCCTACGAGCCTCGTATTCAATACTAGTTACTACTCATAACTACTTGGTAAGGTTTGGACCATACAACTTTTACTCGTACCCAACCTCCCCTTCTTTTCCCCTGGAGCCCTCGTATTGCCTGGTGGAGCAGCTAGTCTGGATCTAGAGGACCAATCTCTTGCAGACCAGTCGATACCAATAAAATCAGCCAGGAACCAAAGCATAACTACTGACAGAAGTGGGTGGCGCAAGATGTCCTGATCGCACCCAGCTAAAACGAGAGGTCCCTCAGTATCTGCAATATCATCCTTGGGGCTGTTGGCCTGTCAAATTCTAATGAGTATAGATGGAGGCCGGTACCATAGAGAATGTCACTCAAGGAAGGATGGCCGGCCTTGGTTAACTACCTCAGACAGGTTCTTCACAGCTCGTAGTTAATCCTTCGTTTATTCGTAGATTAATTATCATTTCTGTCGTGTGAGGGTCTTTCTTGTCTTGGCAAACCCATCCCCGTTGTACGAGTACGAGTCGGCCCTAGTTGTACAGTAGTGGTTAGTGGGAGCTCGAAGAGGCCCCCCACAACCAATCCCCGCTCCTCAATCAAGCGAGGCAACTTGCGCCATCCCTGAACAGGCAGGGATTCCCACAATTTCCCCTGAACGGGCGGGATTTAGTTCCCGAACGCAGGCGGTGCCACTTGACAGAGCATGAACTGACTCGCAGAAGTCGGAGGGTCGTTGGTGTTGAGGATGCTGGTTTGTCTGTACGTGACTTCTCGCTCTGTAGATGAGAGGTCTTCTCAGCAGACTCATCGCTTCCTCTGTAGGCAATCCACAGCCTTCCTTCCCTCTCTGTCTGCCTTCTTCAAGACTTGGGTTCAGCTGGTGATGTGCACTGATTGTCTCAGCCTCGATACGACCCCACACCTGTCTGTTTTGCTATTTTTGGCGAGTTTCAGCCAATCTCTGTAAGGCCCCCATGAGATCGCAGTGATAAGGTTCAAGAACGCACGAAGGTCGAAAATGCTCGGGAAGACGGCGAGATGATGAAGCAAGAACTCTTTATTTCTCGAAAGCAAAATACCTATCTGGAAACACTAAGTTGGCTACAATCTTGAAGGGATCGCCAAACGAAGAGGCTCTGCCCGAACGTATTCTCAATAAAAAAAATTTCTTGAGTCTACCAGAATTTCTCTGGAGCTCCGTAAGGCCATCTTCTAGACTATCGCCATTTGAGCCGCCGAAAGAATCCAATACTCCAGTCAATATAAGTCCGGTCGGTAACAGACGGTCCGAAGTAGTTAAGGAACAGATTCACTTCAAGGGAGTACTTTTGACGAAATCCTGGACGAATCCCGATCAACATTATTCTCGGGAACAGCTCAATGGCCAATGTAATAGTCGCTCGTCTCACTCTCCAGTTAGAGATAGGAGGTAATCTAGCTTCGCCGGCAATCTCCTATAGTTTCTTGCAGTCTTTGCCAACAAGACGTCGGTATCAAGAGAAACCTACCCTTCCCTGACTACACAGCTCAAACTAGCATGGGTTTTTCGTCACATCATTTTGAAACGGGCGATATTTCAAGAAGCTCCCTTGTTAGGACCATAGCACATCCGCATGGTATCATTCTTCCCTTGACAAAATGGACACCACACTGACACCTGGTCAAAGTCGTAATTGAGATAGAATTCCTTTTTGCAGACAGAACAAATATGCTGCCCGAAATTCCGAGGCTGCAGGATTAGGTCGGCCGCAAAGCCATCAACTTCTTCATTCTGGGCTCTCCAATACCTTGAAAATTTATTCTTATGAAAACTGATGATGTATTGTTTTGTAGCACGAGCCACAAGGCCAACATGGAAGCCGACGTGGGAGAAATGGGTGGATCGATGTTTACCGAATTCATATCTTGCTTCAGTTTATGTTATGAATCACCGATTATAATCCAGATTATCCATATGAATACACCCCGAAAGGCCCTGTGAACTGTTTTCCCTGCTTGGAAGACGCACATTGATATTGTAGTACGTATAATAGCAACGCATGGTTTGGTACAAAGGGACACTGCTAACAGGCCAGTAGCTTCGACACGTAATGAATATTTCCATCCGACCGCAGTGATTGAAAAACCAAAATGCAAAGTACGAAAAATGAGCAGCAAAGAAATCGGCGGAAGATAGGGATCCAATGAGGTCGCCGAGTTTGGACGGAGCATGCCCTCGGATTCCAGCGCACAGCATTTAAGGGGCTATGTCTCACGCAACATTTACCTAGATACCTATAGTTAAGCGCCCAACAAAGGATTCGCCATCTCTTAACGGCAGAAGGAATGTGTTTCGAAGAGGTCTCGGCGCCGAGTCAAATTGTGAAAGCGAACTTTTCGTCGCATAGAATCGATGTGAAACTGTCAGAGCGGAATTCCCACTAGCAATTTACTAGAATCCATCTGCTTGAATCCTCATGCCCCACCTCCCATTCAACCTCCCTAGAGAAGTTAGAAATGGGAGGGTACGACGCGGTGACACGATCAGGCGGAGGTGCGCCACTCCCGCATGGGACACGTTAGTCTCTGTCCTTTGCTTGTTAATCTTCTAAGCCTATTATAATTCGTTATTGCTGAAAACGGAACAAAGCGGTTTAGATAGAACGGCAAATCCTCCATACGTTAAATTACGATTTCAGTAAGTAAAAACTTCCATCGGATATTGTATGGTGGACCGTCCCCACATTGCTATTACACGAAACAGTCTGATTTGCCGAAGCGTGGAAGTTCGACGAACTAAAATATGAGCTAAGATTTAGTACTGCTAGAGCTCTTCTTATTGGCAGATGTGTGGCCTTCTCAATCGCCGAGCTCCATGGTCTTCATTTCATTTCTATCAATATACCTGAGCAAAGCAGACTATAAAGATGGCCAAAAAACTCCCCCTTCCGGCTGTCTGCTCTTCTTCACTTCTTCACTTCTCCAATATATCCACCCTGATTCTTCCAGTTTCCAAAATTCGAACTGCAGCCATGGCAAGTGTCCTCTCGGATCTGACTTCTACCGTGACGTCCGCTCTGTCAAACCTCCCACCTCCAGACAAGATCCAAGATGCCGACCGCATGCAGCTTCTGGGGGTCATCAACCAACTGCAATCAGTACTAGAGCCTCCCCAACTGCCTATCCAACGATTTTGCTTCTCGGTATGCTCCTCCAGACTTAATTTACCTATTTTATCTGTCTCACTGAGGAGATCACTAATATGGTTTTGTGTAGCATTATGGAATCGTCGTTATCCGGATAGCCCAGGGTATGGGAATCTTTGATGCGTTCATTAAATATCAAGGCAAGGAGATGTCACTGAAAGAGTTGTCCTCCAACGTCAAAGGCGACGAGAAACTTCTGAGTAGATACTCTATTCCATGTTAAACTGGGATCTTGCTTACTATCTCGTAGGACGTATCATGCGTTTTCTGTCCGCTCACCATATTTTCAAACAAACGACGAGTGATTCATACAAGCCTCTGCAACTGGCAATGGTATTCGGCAACGGGTCAGTGCCCGGGGACATGATCAAGCACTTGTAAGTATTTCAGGCTGTCTATACGGTATGGTGAGTGCTTACAATAGGTTCCAGCCATACGAACATGCAAGTGACTGCGAAGCTCTTTGATTACTTTGAATTGAATGACTACAAGAACCCGGTAGACGCATATGATGCTCCTTTTCAGCTCGCCTACAACACCAAGAGCCATTACTTTGAATGGCTGAGTCAAAATCCCACAAAACAAGAGGTTTTCAACTCAGTGATGACGCAGAGCCAACAGTATCGCGGTGCAGACTGGTTCGAAATTTATCCGGTACAGGAACAACTGCGGGTTTCCCCAGACCAGGTTTTGCTGGTTGATATTGGTGGCGGCGTGGGCCACGATATCACGGCGTTTAAGAAGCATTTCCCAGACCTCCCGGGCAAGCTCGTCCTGCAGGATCTCCCTCAGGTGATTGACACCATCAAGGAACCTCTGCCCGAAGGGATTACTGCTATCAGCCACAACATGTTTGAGCCACAGCCTATCAGCGGTGCTAGAGCGTACTATATGAGAACAGTCTTGCACGATTTCCCGGATAGGCAAGCTCTTACCACCCTTGCACATATCCGAGATGCCATGTCGGAGGACTCTATTTTGTTCGTTCATGAGCATACAGTGTCCGACGATCTCGATGTCCCTCCGATCGCCGCGACACTCGATATACATATGATGGAGATATTCTCCTCCCTAGAAAGAACCGAGAAGGAATGGGTCACTCTTTTGGAAAAGGCTGGGTTCAAGGTGGTAAAGGTCTGGAAGGAGGAATCAGTTGGACAGTCTACTGCTCTGTTCGAGGCTACTCTGCACTGAATTTTGAATTATTGTTGAAGGCGAAAGGTAAGATCAAGTCTGACATTATATTCATCGCCGTTTACTTGGTTTATCCACATAGACATGGACGATAATGAAATAAACTTTCAGATCTAGCCATGTACTCCTAAGAATATTTCCGAAGCAGATCAGTTCCGCGAATGACCGACCAGTTCGTTCCCTGCTGCGTCGACACCAATGTGTCAAACAGAAACCTAGACAGCTCCTCTTCCATGTCAGCATCTATAATCGAGCTGTATAATTGACCACGAGTCCGTAATTCTGCCTTCAGACAATTTAAAGCAATCGAGACGGTAACGTTAGAATTAATGATCCCCTCACAGTGGGGCCAGGTCTGCAAGGTGTGGATTGCCTGCAAGCGAATTGAATAGTCTGGACACTGCGAGGCCACCACCCACAAACCTGGGACGACGCCGTAGTCCAAAGTAAATGTTGGGCGATCAAATGACTTGGCTAGAAATGCCTGATATGCCGAGAACAAACTGATGTATTCCGGTGTCAAGCTTGTAGGTACTGGTCCTTTGATGAGACAGGTCTTCAGACTGAGGATCTGTGCAAGACTTTGTAGTTGAAGCAAATCAACGCCTTGCTGGTCACGAGCACGAAGGCTATGGTAGAAGTCGCGATAGAATATCCAAAAATGGTGTTGGAATTCATAATTCAGGGACAGAATCTGTTGCTGCTTCTGGAACAACTCGTTGTATTCTGCTGCGATTTCAACAGCGGAGGATGGCCAGCATCTGGCGAGAAAAGGAATACCCATATTCAAGAGAAGGGTCACGCTTCGGTGTACATCTGACACAGTTTGCATTTTAGAAAAATGGTCCAGGGTATGCACGTCATCATCAACTCCAAAATGGGTGAACAAGAACGGGGTACCAGGCCCGAAATGGGCGGATTCGACGTCGAGTCGTTCGAAGATGTTGACTAGCGAATGGTCTAGACTAATTGTTGAATGATAGTCCTGGGTCTCTTTGAGGATGCGAAGCCCATTATGCAGATGTTGGAAGGCATTGTCATACCGTCCAAGTAATAACTCGGACATGACAAAAAGCAGGCAGCATACTAGTATAACTTCCCGGTACCGAGGGTCGTTCGAGGTCTGACGTTGGAAGAGATGAGTATAAGCTCGCGAGGCTTGCTGAAGTGCGAAGCGATGACGAGCTCGCTGGAGGTTTTCCCCAGACAAGCGCATTTCATTCGCGCCCGAGTCTTCGTGGAGGGCACCGAGCATATTGGCGGCATGATACACAGCAGGGTCGACATGACTAATCTGCAAGATAATTTTCTGCCAGAGAGGAGAGTCGAAGAAAGCTCCGAGGCCAGGAATGGAGCAATATCGAAAATATGAAAAGCATCGTCGCTCGTCCATTGTAGTTACCCACCCCGGGTGAGGGTAAATACTCCGGGTGAATGAGACAGCTCGCTTCCTAACGGGCAAGCGATGCAGATCATAGCCATCGCATTTACGCCCGGTAGATTTGCAGTTGTTGCATGTTCCAGGAGTTTCGTCGCACTTGACGTGTCGAACGCTGCGAATCTAACCAGTCACTACGGTACTTATTGCATTTGAACCCCCCGGAGCCAGTCGGCCATTGGATGAGGAGGGGATAAATACCCACCGGCATGTTCGGCATCCCTTCAGCGACCGACTGCTGCATTTCCTGCGTCGCTTTATACGCAGCATCACGGACAAGCAACAAGAAGGTTTGAGTGTTGGAGAAATGGAGGAGAAAAGAATGGCAAAATGGAGTTTCCAAGCTGGCAGCCTAGAATGGTCTCTAGACTTCAGCTTCAGCTTCCGGCAGTAAAATGAGGGAAAATAATGCTGAGCGAGAGTTGGGGGCGAGAATGTGGAGCTTGGGGGGCCTGGATCTTTTCTATCTTAGTTCTAGTCACACTTCCTCCCCTTAGTAATAGTCGGGCCCTCCATAGTCTAATGGAAATTCAGTCTAATATAGGACTTCAAACTAGACGTATTTCAAAGTGCTGGAAAATCGAGCAACAAATCATATATACTGGCTTGCAATCGATTTCTACCGAGATGAAACCATTAGGATGTATTGAGGGGCCAGCGCCTAGGCATGCTGAGCCTGCAGCACGCCGCGGCGAGCATTCCAATTTCGAGGAACCCGCATGGCAGAGCCCAGATCAATTCGCTTGCTTTTGAGTAAGGCCTGCACTACTTCATTGTGACCGTACGTCCTAGCTGCATCCAATGGATGACATTTATTATGACAAGGATGGTTTGGGTACATGCCCGCTTCCAGAAGCATCCTCACGACTGGAAGACTACCTTCTATAGCGGCCAGGAAAAGAGGTGTTTCATTGTCCTCGTAACGCCATTTGCCCTCGGAAGGCGATAAGCGGGGCGGTTCCCATTTTTGCGCCGGTGACTGGCCTTCTCAGGCATCGGTGATTAGACTACTCTGTAGAGAGGTCAGCAAGCGAGTCTCAAAGGATCTACATCCCTAGAGGATCGACGACCAGGATCCTGCTGCAGGCTGCGCGTATGGGGCAAATTTCAGTGCTTAGTGCTTATCGTATTGACATCATGGGGCGGGCCAGGCGGTCGTCGGAGAGACAGCTTGATCGATGAGGATTAGGAGAGAGATCATTAAAAACGCCTGAACCGAATTATCCAAACGAAATCCATTCCTTGCCCTGTTGGAAACTCGGATAAAAGCTATGGGACCGTCGGCGTTAATGGAGATACTAGTTGTACGCTTCCCTTTGGGGAATGATTGAGCGGCTCAAGGTTCCGAATACTAGATGAATGTTTTCCTTGTTGACCAAGTCTTAGATTAGAGGTTTCTAGTGGTCGACCTCAGGGGTCTGATTACAGCGCACTGACTGGCATTGTAGTAGACATAAGTACTGCTCCGCGTATTCCTGGAGATTCCCTGACGCAGATTCCAGGGTTCCCGGGCATTACCGGTCCTTGTGAAGCCTGCGGGGCTGGGGGAGGAACATGGTGGGCGAATAATACGCTCCACTCCGGTGTTGAGGAAGGCGACGGTAGGTTTTCAAGAGCTATGGAGGTCCTGTTTTGTATTGTGCTGCCCTCCTGTATGCTGTAAAGAGGGTCTAACTGTAGGATCTTGTGGTATTTTAGATTATTGGCAAAACTATTAACGTACATGATAAGTGAGTGAAACACGAAACCATGTTCCTACAGTCTGGGGTGTTACTCGGTACAAGACGTTGCAAATACTGACGTACATTACTGATGAAGGTGAGTGGGTGCCTGAGGTGTCAGCGCCCACCGCCGTTGTAGATAGACCTTCCCTTCTGGGAATCTAGGAATATCATTATCATCTCTCTCCGCTTCTTCTTCTGCTCTTCCTAGTGATCCCCGATTCCAGGTCTTTGCCATGCCGGTCCCTGATTCCCCCTGAGCCACGACCGTCATCAATTACTGTAACCCCAGCAGACATTCGCAACATGACCGGTATGCCAGTCAATAAGGTGCCCGAGCTCTCGTGTCAGTGCCAACTTCAAGAAGGGTAGAAGCTTTTTTCCTGGTCATGACTGTCCTTTTCCTGCTCTGGCAGCTATGAAAAGGAAACGGTACGTCCAATAGTCAGCCCTCAGCCCCGGTGTCAAAGACTATGAATTCGTGACTATATGGAATTGAGGGTGTGCAGACTTGGATCAGACAAAATATTGATCAGTTCAAGATTCCTGGAAAGGGGAATAGAGAAACCAAGCTGAGTTTACCTAATTGAATAAGATGTTCGTGTGTAGATCTAAATACTACTTTTGTCCATGGTAGGCAACGCATTAACTCCTAGAATGTTTTAGTTGTCGGGATCAAATGTATAAATAATGACGGGTAAAAAGAAGGGACTATTCAAGCGATGTAAGCGATTGGTTTGTGACGATCCGGCTGCGCGGTTTCCCACCTATGAGAGGCTAGTCTCTATTAGCCGCAACTAGACTCAAGGCAATACCCCTGTACCTCGCTAATCCCGTAAGATATTATCGTAGTAACGGCGCTACATCCGTATAGAACTGGGATTCTTCCGAGCCGGTGCCCTTTAATGCACTTTACAATTGGCGCGATTTCTTATGCTCGGCATATACTAGTCTACGCGCTTGAGCCCCAATCACACTAAGCTAATACTACGGTAGCGAGCCTCATGCTGGGCTTAGCTGCTGCGCCATGTTCCCCCCTCCCTATTTATCTATGGTTATGGGCCCTCTTTGTCCTGATACCTGAGATTGCTTTATTCTCTTGAATCAAAACATCTAATCAATCCGCAACCATGCCGTCTGCTTCAGTCCTCTCGGCCTATACGTTTACAAACTTAGGACCGCTCACAACTATCTTCACGCCGCCTGCCTCTTGCCAAAATCGGTGGAATGTCAATATTGCCCCGTCCAGCCTTCCAGACGTCTGGCTAGCTGACGCCAGCTGTGGCATCAACGCTGAATATTGGAGTTGCAGGCCGACGGGGACAATCACTGATTTGCCGTCTAGTACTTCGTACGATAATAACCCGAGCCTTGCATATCAGGCGCAATACTACTCTCCCGGTCTGTACTGTCCGTCAGGATGGCACGAAGTTGGAGTTGCTTCGCGCGACGGAACCAAACCCGTTAACTGGACGGGGATCTTTAGTCCCGCCACACCCCTTCCAACAACCAATAACAACTTCGGGCTCAACTTGCCCGCGAATGTGCTGATGCAGTTACTAGACCCAAGCGAAACAGCGGTCATGTGCTGTCCTAGCTCTATGACTGCAGACGAGATAGTTGGCTGTTATTCTACACTTAGTGACTATAAGATTTCAACGGGCTGTATCCGCATCTTTCCGAACGCTGATATATCGACGGACATGAGTACGGAAATCTGGGTCGACGGCGTCACGGTCGAAGGACGGCTAGAAACCCTTGTGTCAGACCTTCCCATTACGCAAACCTTACATCGCAGTTTCGCACCAAGCGAAACATCTACCCTTGTTGGAGTGACAGCAGCTTATCCCATTACGCTAGTGCACCAACCCACGGATCTTGGCACAGCTAATGCGGCAGCAAGACTTAATTCACGATCACCAACTTGGAACGGACTTGGTGGCGTTCTTGGGGTGACACTCGCAGCGATGGCCTTGGGAGCAGCGATTATTTTGCCGGGGTAGATAAATTTCGATTTTTGTTTGCTGTATTGGCGCATTTGTGACATAGGTATCGCGGCCCGCTATCGAAGTTCAATGTTACGTACTCCATCATGTCTTTATCTTCCAGAAATTAGGAATTGAGCCCAAGGCGCCAAAACGAAAGATATTTTTAGTTATAGATGAGAGGAGTGGAGTTGTACGATAGTCCCATGTGACCTGCGTCCCAGACTCACCTTCTGTTTGATTGGGAGCTTCTACAAGTTTCCATGTATCCTTGCCATTTTATAACAATAGCCCATCTGATGAGGTGTGGGTGCCTGAGGTATCAGCGCCCATCGCCGGCTGTAGAGAGACCTTCCCTTCTGGGAGATCACAGTTAGGAATATCATCATCATCTCCGTTCTTCTTCTCTCCCTGTTTCGTGATCTCCCAGGTCCTTGCCATGGCGTCTCCTGACTTCCCCTGAGCCACGCCGCCATCAGAAAGCAAACGAGATGATTTGGGCGATCGGGAAGTATGCCAGTTGGTAATCGCCGTGTATGAAGAATTTGGTTCTGAGAGCGAGTATCAGCATCGGAACAGCACATGTTTACGCGCTGATTAGAATGATCTTACCCATCAGTACATTCTGGCCGACCTTTGAGATTGAGAAACTGGATGATGGCACAAAGAACATCGCGTTTACTTTCAGGGTCTTTCAGGTAGAAGAGCTCGATATCGCGGTAGCAAACTGAGTCCGGAAGATCGTCCACCGAAATGTATTTGGGAAGGTCACTCTGGAAAGCCTGACCTCTTTTGCGTTTGCCCAAGGACGAGTTGTCAGGTAGGGAAGTTTTCTGGGGCAGTAGTACGCCTGGTCGAGTCCCGATGATGGCGGACTAGAGCTGAACTGTGGAAAATTGGATAATCACACTTCCATGTCGAAAAAAACTCGAATGAACCTAGTGACGGCGGTAGGTCACACAGAAGACGTCCAGGTCCAGGGTGTTCTTTTGTTTCGTTCGTCGGGGGAGCTTGCGCTCGGCCGGGAATACGTGTTCTAGAAACTAATGTCCTAGTTAGCCTTCTACTTGTAGAGTTCGAGAAAGCATGCGGACTCGTCGCATCTGTTCATGGACTTCGCAGTTGACACGACGACAGGCGAACAGGCCGAAGTATTGGCAAAGGCGTCGCTAGTATTCGTCATACGACTGAAGTGCTTTCTCCTGCGAAGTCTTGTACATCCAATCAAAGAAATTCATGTAAATCGCTT